TTATGTGGTACAGAAACTAGCCTAAATTTCTTTTTTCTTCTCTACAATTTCATACACAGATTTTTTTTTGGGGGGAGGGTCAGTTGTGGGGCTTGAACTTGGCCTGGGTGCTATCTGTCCCTCAGCTCTTCAGTTCAAGGCTAGTGCTCTACCACTTGAGCCACAGTGCCACTTCTGGCTTTTTCTGCTTATGTGGTGCTGAGTAATGGAACCCAGGGCCTCATGCATGCAAGGCAAGCACTCTACCATTGAGCAACCTTCCCAGCCCAGATTTTCTTAACAACCTTATCATGCCTTTTTTTTCAACAACTCTGTACGTGTATTTGCCAGCTACTTTTGTACCTTGAGGCCATTATTAAGGGTCCCTTGAACACAAATACTGCAAAGGGACAATTCAGGTCCTAGGCAAGATGGACCTGAACATTAGGGGAGATTTCAGCATGCTACTTGGACTAGCAAGCAATTTAAAACTTATTTCTGGGATTTTTCCATTTAACTTTGATTTTTGGACTATGGATCACTGGTAACTGAATCCATGGAGAGCTAAACAAGATTGAGAGGACTAGTGTACTAATTTGAATTTAAATCAGAAATGCTGCTTTAAGACAATTTTTGTCTTACAAGTTTTATTTTTTGGGGGGGAAATCTATATTGGAGCTCAGTGGCTTGGCATTTTTGCTCAAGGCTGGCACTTTTGAGCCATACCTCCACTTGTTTTTTTTTTGTTGTTGTTGTTTTGCTGGGTAACTAGATGTCTGCTGGGGCAGGTTTTGTACTGAGATCCTGAGATCTCAAGCCTCCTGTACTATAGATATGAGCCACTAGGACCCAGCCTATGTCTTACAAATTTCTAAAGGGGTTTGGATATACTGAGTATAACTTTCATATCTGTCTTGGGCATAGGCAAAGTAAGAATTATTGCTATGGAAATAGAAGGTTGAACATTGTATTCGTTTGTATTCTACACTCTATAGAAGCAAGATGTTTTCTTGAGAGCCAAGGATAGCTCCTTTTGGACATTTGGGAAGATATTATCAACTTCTTGTCAGAACCATCATTACTATCTAAATGAGCTTGGGATACTCTGCTCTTGAAGGTTCTGGATAATGACTGACCAGGCAAGACTGGGGATGTTCTTGCTTTTTCATTATCAGGGAACTGGATCTACTCTGGTTCAAGTGCAGTCTGAAGTTTATGACTAAGAATTGAGTTAAATACTCAGGTTTAAATGACCTGGGAGGGACCAGATGTCATTTAGCCCTATCTTATTTGATAGACCCAAATGGGTTAAGATGGGTTAAAGGATTCATCCGAGGCCACTAGCCAGGAGCAAAATGAGATAAGAACATTGTGTCCTGAGTCGAATTTCAGGGTGAAGTGTATTAAGCTTTTTTTTTTTCTTTTTAATTTTTGGTGCTAGTCTTGGAGCTTGAACTCCTGGGCCTGGGACCTGTCCCTGCACACCTTTTGCTCAAAGCTAGCACTTTAAGCTTGTGTCACAATTCCACTTCTGGCTTTTTAGTGATTAATTGTAGATTAGAATCTCATGGACCTTCTTGCCTGGGATTTGAATCACAATCCTCAGATTTTAGCCTCTTGTATAGCTAGGATTACAGGCGGGAGCCACAGTGCCTGACAGATGTATTAATATTCTTAAGATTTTTTTTTGAACTACTCATTAAGTTTACTTTTTTCAAGTACTATTGGATGGAGACAATAGTGTATCCTTTGGTTTCATCTGAACCTGGTTACTGGTAAATGGAGATAATGTAGTTGTTACTTGCTTCACAGAGTATATACACAGATGTATATACATCTTTTTCATTTAGAGGACGGATGTGTCTCTTTTGGGCTAGGGCAGATCTCTTTGCTGTGCATTGCACTCCTTCCTTCTCAGCCCTTAAGATACTCAGTTAACCACCAACTGTTCCCATTTTCCCCAATTTTTTAGTAAGTGCAGTGCTTTTGTTCGTCTCTGGACCTAGTAAGAGTTCCTTAAGTGAACCATCTCTTTCCTTCTTGTTTTGATCTGCTGGACTTCTTCCAGCAACACCCCCCCCCCCCCGCCCGTAATCTTCTCTGGACTGACTTAGTGGCCTGAGTCCTGAGTGGTATAAACTGGAGAATGTAGTTTTATTCATTGTTGTATTTGCATCTGAAGTAATGTTAAAACGACTAAATGACTTATACTTTGAAATTTCTCTCAAAATTAAAAAATATACATAGATGTACATGTACACATCCAGAGATGTATATTTTTATGTGTCTATTAATATATGTATGTGTGTGTGTGTATATATATATATATATATATATATATATCTCAATTAAGACTAAACCTACTGCTGAACATTTTGGCTTTGGGGGAAGAGACATCCTAAATCTCTCAGCAGGTAAGAATCTAGGCTGGTTCTGCCCTATCCATCTTGCTTGAATAAGCAACAAGGTTTAAAGCTGGCAAGGGAGAACAATTTTGGTAGGTGTAACTAAGGTAAAAATTAAGTTGGGAGGAAGCTAGTTTTTATGAAAAGTGAAAAAGTCATTAATTGTAGAAGTACACAGTTTATTTCAGTGAAGTTTAAATGCAGTATTCACTTTTCTTCATGAACTCTTACTCTGATTTAGTCACAAAATTGTCCTTGGCAATCCTGATTAGCTAGCTATTGATTTATTCTCCATTTTTGTTGGAGACTGAGACCTCAAGAAGGTATCATTTCTGGCCCAAGCTAGAGCCTCTCCATCTTAGGATCTGCTTCTGCAAAATGGTTTGCTTGGACTCAGCTTTTGAACAATGCTTACTTTAAAATGTTATTGGAGAATCTTGTTAAAAATGCAGATTTTTTAACAAGGCCCCACATCCTCCATTTCTAACAAACTGGTTCACAAATTACACTTAGAATAGCTACAGTTTAGAAGACTACATTAGAAGAGGACTCCCAAAGGTGCTAGCGTTGTTTCTTTGGTTTGGTCTACAATTACATTAATATGAATTGCAGAATACCTAATGCTGAGCTCTTGGCTTGATGAAAATATTTTGAGAAATAGTTCTGTAATATTCTAAACAGTTCATCTCAACTTGGTAGCCCCCGAGGGAACCAATACTTTAGAAGCAGAGAATATAGAAATATGTATGATGATGACTTGGAATTCAGTGACCTCTAGAAAGATAGGCAGAGAAATATTTGTTAAAGTATGAAGTATAATAAAATCAATTATCAAAGGTAGCCTACTATCTGGAAAAAAAGTCCACCTATATGGAAGTCTTTATTCTTAGTAGGCTAATAAGCTCTTTTACTAATAGGCTTTTTGAAGTGCCATCTGCCACTTGCCATCTTGTCTACAGAAGTAGTAGTAGCTTATAGTTTGCTCCTCCAGTGAGGAATATAAATAGGATCTATTGTGCTTGGAAGAGTGGGCCTGCCATTGAATCATGTTTCCATCACTTATTGGTGCTTGAGAACCTGGGGTCAGCTCTCTTAGTTTTGCCAGCCACCCATAAAGTAGCCATCATTTCATTACAAAATTTTTCATGAAGAGAGGTGAAAATTCTGAGGATGTTACTACTATTTTTCCTCTTGCTTTGATTCTGGTGAACAAGTTGCTATGATATTTGGCTACCTTTCATCTGAACCTCTTCCCTGGCTGTTCTGAGATACACAGAAAATCCATGAAGCTCAGAGGGATAAACAGATACTCTTGCTTCTCACAATAGACCAGAAGAATGCAACTGAACATTTTATACAGAAGTATTGGAATGTAGATTATTTTTATACACATTTTATGTTAAACACACTTAAGTCATCTTGTGTAGGATTATATAAGTTAGTGACTGGTAAATTACTCCAGATTGGGTCTCTGGCTTATTCCATGGTTCTATGAGCTGTGCTGTTAAGATCTGATTAGTCCTCTAAGATTAAATTGCAGGGAAAACTATTCTTTGTTCTTAGATCTGGCACACCTAATTATTATTTGGATTTTGGGACTTTCCTATACTTTTTGCCTGTTGTACTCTTGGTATTCTTATCTTGAAAAGTAGCTTGAAATTGAAGGTTTGGTTTGCTGTTGAAATTCCTGTGCCTCTCCCATGTCTCAGGTTTTGTTTATTGGTTACTTATATTCCATACCTACTCTGTTCTCTGTTGATACCAAACTTCTTTTTAAAGATTACTGATTAATTGGATGGGAATGTAGCTCAGTGGTAGAGTGCTTGCCTAGAAAGCACAGGGCTCTGGGTTTGATCTTCCCTGCTTCTCCACACATAGAAAAATAACTGCATTCGTTAGATCCAGCTTTAATTCTCAGAAGTAAGATTATTTGTTAATCTAAATGTTTTCTAAACCAAGTTTTCTGTGGTTTTGTAAATAACCTGTCAAATTATGGCTACTTTTAACCACAGGACTCTCTGGTTTCAGTTAATTCTAATCTGCTTTTGGCAAATAATTTAACCAAATTGGGTCTAAATTTACCTTAGTCTGTGAAATGAAGATTTAAAATTAAAATTGGATTAAGTTTCCCAGACATTGTATTGGCTGGGAATGAAAATCACAAGGAAATAACAGGGAGGACCCTAGGTTCTTCATTCAGTCAAGTAATTCTTTTTATAAACTGAAGTCTTTGCTATTAAATAAGATGGAATGTTACTTGACTGACTGGTCTTTGAGATTGGTTTCTGCTTTGACACTTTGTGGTCTCTACTTCTAGATTAGATAAGGACACTTCAATACCACTATGTCTTCTAGTAATTTTCACCAAGGCTATAGCTTGGCAGTCCCAGTACTATATCCTCACACACATTACTGTATGTACAGGAGCATGTGTTCCTTCCTTTTTAGTCTTCTCCAATCTTTCAGAAACCTCCTCTAGTTAACTGCAGTTTCTCAAACTATCTTTTCTACTCTTATGACTCATTACACACTGCCTGGTCTAGCAGGTGAATGTATGAAAGTCAAAGAAAGGTAGGATTTTGGTTTCTTCATGCTGAACCAACCTACTGCCTTGAATTCATACAGAAAGCCCCAGGAATGCAACCATGGCTTACAAACTCTTTCTTTTTCAGGACCGAATCATCAATTTAGTTGTTGGCAGCTTTACATCCTTACTGATTCTAGTAAGTATCTTTATTTCGTGCTGTACTCAGGCTCTTAAAAGTTTTAACATTAAATTAATCAAAAGGAAAAAAAAATTCAGGAAGGAAGGGCTGAGCATGAGCCAATGACATGTTTCAATCGCAGTCCACTTACTGCTTTTAATTTTCTTACCACAAAATTACAATTGGCAAATGAAGGAGCTATTTGAATTTCCACTTCCAAAAATTACCAAGTGAATATGAGATACAGTGTTTGCTTGCCAAATAAATTTATAAAAATATCACTCTCTACTATCAGCTTCCTCTATAACTCATCATTTTTGCTGGAAAGGGGGCCCAGTGGTGGAGTGCTTGCCTTGCATGCATGAGGCCCTGGTTTCCATTCCTCAGCACCACATACACAGAAAAAGCCATTAAATGGTGCTGTTGCTCAAGTCATAGAGTGCTAGCCTTGATCTGAAGAGCTGAGGGACAACACCCAGGCCCAGAGTTTATCACCACCGACCAAAAAAGAAAAATAAAACCCAAAAACAAAAAACAAAAAATCCCCAAAAAACAAAACATTTGGTCAGTGTATAGTACTTTCTTATTCTGTGTAATACAACTGGGTGTTATCACAGTAAAAAGCTTCAGTTTCCATAGTCTGATGACATTTGTCTAGACTTTCATTAAATTGGTTAAGAGGATGAATTTTTCCATACTTCTTAATAAAAACAATGGGTATATGAATGGAAAGCCATCCTTCAATATTTTTCATAAAGGTAAGTAAAACCATCCTTAATTTTTTGTAGAAGTATTCAGCATAACAAGATGGCTAGATCTCTTCAGGATAGTCATTAAATAATTTCTTAACAAAGAGGTTGAGATTAGCTTGTTTGTCACTGTTTTGTCTCCCTTTATAAGTGGCTGGAAAGTTTGCAAATATTACAGAAAAAACTTGAACATATTTACAAGTTTTTTTAAATATATTGAAATTCCAGAAAGCAAACCCAGTGCTAGATATAGGTGGTAGATATAATTTTATAATATGCACAGACTTGCAGTGATCAAGTCTTGGAATTATTTGTAAATCCTTACACAATTTCCCTCCCTACAGGTAACACTGATCAGTGCTTTTGTATTCCCTCAACTACCCCCGAAACCGCTGAATATATTTTTTGCTGTCTGCATCTCTTTGAGTAGTATTACTGCCTGCATACTTGTGAGTACTATTTAAATTTAAGTAGGGTGTTCTTGAGAGCCTGATATTGCAGTGCTGATGGACAGAGTTCTCATCCCTGGGTCCATAAAGAAGTTTCTCAAATATTCTCTCTTCCATGTCAGAAATTGCAAATCATTAAGTTACCTTTTTCTATTAGATCCCTAAGTTATAAACCTAACGGGAAACTACGTTCCCTTATATTTAAAAAGGAAAACAAAAATATCTTTAGCTGGCTGAAAAATTTGTACTTGTCTTCACTCAAGGACTTGTGCACAGGGCCAAAAAGGGTTTGAAAATGTTAGTTAGGGAAGAATCAATACTCTGGATTTGTTCCTCATAATGAGAAAAATAGTCTCTGTAGATCTATGATTACTCTCCATTTGGAGGCAATTAATATCACATTTTCAGGGGAACTTAAAGCTGCAGTTTTGTCCTAGTCACAAGGACTTTGCTTTTACTACAAATAGGGGCTCCTCACTACTTAAGGCTTAACTTGTAATGGTAATTTACTTATCTGACTCAAGCAGTTCACTTGTCTAACCTATTTACTGACAAAATAGGAAGAGTAGGTCCTTGGGATGTGGAAACCTAGATAAGTATCAGAGTTATTAAGAATAAGGATTAAATTGTGTCTGTGTTAGTCTCAAAAATATATAAAGGGAAACATGACATTGGTGGGAAAAAATTAGTGGTATTTTTATATTCAACAGTTGGCCTAGTGGCTATTACTTAAAATTTTATTTAATTCTTCTTTTAGATCTACTGGTATCGACAAGGAGACTTAGAACCGAAATTTAGAAATCTAATTTACTATATCGTATTTTCTATCATCATGTTATGTATATGTGCGAACCTGTACTTCCATGATGTGGGAAGGTGAGGCTGCCAAGGAGAAATCCTTACCAGGACTCTTCAAACTGTACATTAGGACAGTGAATAACTTTTGGAAAAAAATACGCTGAAGAATCTTCTACAGAAGTCTGATACATGATTTTCATGTCAATTATAAATCTAAATTCCCTCTTGCAAGGGAGATATATATCATAGATCTCTTTGCTTTTCTTTTAAGGAGCCGATTTTGCACTTGAACATTCCAGCACTCAAATGGCACAAGTAATTTTCACTTTTGAAATTAAACATTTTTCACAATTTAATTGCATGGCTCAGAATCTTGCATTTTAAGACAAATACTCTTTTATTTCTGTTAAACTGAATATACAATTATTGTTCCCTAGGCAACCATTTTTTGCTTATAACTACAATTTCACGTTAACAAAAGAGACGGTGAAAAGACAACTTTGATTGTGAAGATCTAATTACAATAATAAATAAAATAATTTATACAAGTTTTTGTGACTTTTGTTTAGGGATCAAACTCATTAAAGCCCTAGAAATTAATTTTGGCTTATAACCCTTAGGAATGACTCTTGATTTGTTTCCTTTTGTTACAGAAGCAAATTTTATTTTTCAAAATTGCTCAAGAGGGAGAATTATAATGTACTCCCACCAGGTAATGCACTAAGTGAATGACAACTCTAATAACCCCCCTTCAACTATTTTTCTGGAAAATTTATATAGCAAAACATTTACTGAGTGATCATGTGTTAAATACAGGCAACATTATCTCTTTCTGTTTAACCGTAAATTGGTGAGTGCTTTCTGATGAGGGGGGGAACTGCTCAGCTTCTGGTGGGTTTTGTTACTATTTTTATCCATATTCCCTTTCAAAGTAATGGATATATATATATAATATGTGTATTATATATATCCTGTAGTGAATTTTCTCAACTCTTTAATGCCTTCTTTACCCTGACTAAATTATTTCCCACTGCCAGCAATGGGTTAACTAAAAGTAACTGCCATACCACACCCAAGTTTCTTGGTGTTTTTATGCTTCTCAAATTAATACTATATACTCTTTTGAAGGTCAGTGATGAGCTCTATGGACCACTGAGATAAAGACTTTCAGAAATAAGGTGGGCTAAGACTCAGTAGAGTGCCATGTGTGATCTATCTGTTGAGGTAAAGATTACAGCTTTTAAACTAGAGGAGTTAAGTTTGATGGTTTTAAAAGTTTCCACTAGCTGGAGTGAATCAAATTCCCTCCTGACAACACTAAACACAAGGACGGCAGTCAATACTCCCAATACTCCCCTCAACTACGCAATCCTAAAACTGGACCGCAAATGACAAACTTAAGAGGAGGTAAAAAGTCACAGCAGCAGCAGTGTGCGTGCATGGCTTAAATACTGTAGCTACATAAAAACCAAAAGAAGAGATGAATTAAGCCTCTTGAGAGTTGCTCCTATGTCTTTGGAGATACTGTAACTTCACAGAGTGGCTTCTTTGCACAACTACCTGTTTCTTCTAAGAATTACCTAATGGCAGTTTACCAACTCCTCAACATCTTTTGAGTCTTCAGAAACAGGACTGCCCAAACATGATCCAATGATATTTGATTCTTCCTGGTGATGTTGGAATATGGGATCTGTAATGAGTTCAGTTTCAAGTTAGTCAAATGTATATATTCACTATGTAACCCATAGTAAAAATGTACAGTATGTATTTTAACAGGTCTTCATTGGTAAGTCAAGAAAAGACTAACACAAACTAAATTCTTAAAATTTTTATCACTATTTGCCCACTGTCCCTTGCTTTTTTAAGTTCTTAATTCCTTATAATTTATCAGGCACATGATAAAGAGTTGTATTACAGTACCTGTTAGTGTTGTCAAAGGCAAGACAGATTCAGCATCAATGACATCAGACGCTTGGATGAAGCCATGAGGAGAAGGAACGATAAGTATTGTTTCATCATCTATTGTTTGATGAATTTGTTCTACTATGGTGGGAGACTCTAAATCCTAAATAATATTTAAAAGAGAAAAAAAGACTCTAACTCAGATTACTTGTTAGTTCTCCTCATGATCTGGAGTACATCTAGATTTGACAGCACTTAATACTCAGGTATTTCATTTTAAAATTACAATTAAAGGAGCAAGATCTTAAGTAAACTTCAATAACGTCCTATTTTAATGTACTATTAAACAAATTCAAACATTGATACTTGAAAATAGAACAGTATAGTTGAACTACAGGATGAGGTTCCTAAGCTGAACCCCAAAGATTAACTATACTCAAGAAATGGGTTACAGCTGGGTACCAGTGGCTCACACCTGTAATCCTGGCCACTCAGGAGGCTGAGATGTGAGGATCACAGTTCAAAACCAGCCTGGAAAGGAAAGTATGTAACATTCTTATTTCCAATTAATTACAGAAAAAGCCAGAAGTGGTACTGTAGCTCAACCGGTAGAGAGCTAGCCTTGGCAAAAGGAGCTTTGAACTGCAAACAAAACAAAACAAAAAACAGTGGGTTACATAAACACTTCAGTCTACTATAGGAAGAGAGAGCATCAATGAGAAAGTATGCTAAGGTGAAACTCTGTCCTGTCCACTTCTGGCAGCAACATTGGTAGTGCACTGCTAATTCTACAGTTAAGAGATGGGGTTGTAGTTTAAAGGGGAAAAAAAGGAAGTACTAGAGCCTTATCCTTACGAAGGATTTCTAAGATTTTTTTCCAACTGTTTTAAGGCTCAAGGTGCTCTTCTTATATATGTGGCTTACCTCGGTAACATAAGCACTGGCTAAATCAGTGGGTGATTCTTCTTGTTTAAGGTCGGTGACGGAGATTTCTTCTTCTGTTCTGACCATAATACTATTCATCAGTTCTGTGCTATTTTGGTCACTGAATTTCGATACATGAGTGTCATTAAATGATGGCTGTATAGTTAATTTAGGCTGATGAATTTCAACTGGGAAAGTGTCTGCTTCTAGTGCATCTGGAGGTTCAGGAAAATCAGATGACTGAATATCACCAACAGTTAGTTCTGCTTGGGATATAGAGGAAGTGATGTCCTCTGCGGCAACAGTCTGAATGATGACTCTTGGTGTGTGACACTGCACTGTAACATTGTCACTTGTGTTCAACAGATGTTCTGGCTATAAATGTTAAAGGAAAATCATTAATGGCATAATGAGTAAAAACTACAGGTGGTTTCCCATTGCTCCCTCCCATAACTTTCCCTTCTGGATCTGAAACTTAAGCTTTCTATGTGCGTGCCAATCCTGGGCTTGAACTCAGAGCCACAGCACTGTCTGTGAGTTTTTTTGCTGAAGGCTAGCACTCTACCATTTGAGCCACAGCTCCACTTAGGGCTTTTTCTGGAGGTAGTTTTAGTGGAGATCGATCAGTTTCATGGACTTCCCTGCCTGGGCTGGCTTCGATCCTCAATCCTCAGATCTCAGCCTCCAGAATAGCTAGGATTATAGGCATAAGCCACTAGAGCCGGGCTTGGACTGTAATGTTTATAATCAGTACTTTTATAAAACTCCTACTCTGTTGCCAATGTCCCTTACTCTTCTAATTTCCCTATATATACATATCATAAGTAGATACAAAAGAGTAACGAGACTTCAGTAAAGGAAGAATTGTTTAGGTAACCTTATCAGTGTGGGTATTTATATCTGTATCAACAGATACATAATACATAACTCAAAAATCAAATAAAACTATGTAACATACGGATAAAGCATGAACAATGATCTGTTCAGGAGAAGCAGGAGCAGCAGCTGTCAGGGTTACTGTGGGACTAGCAGTCAGAGTTAGGGGAAGGCCTTGACTTGAGCTTGTCTGAAGTAGGTAGGTGCCTGGAGTGCCTGTGGGCTGTAAATGGAAAGACTAAAAAGAAAAAAAGGTATTTTAACAGAAGTACAACAGACTACTGGCAAAGTCTGTCATTTACTAGCCACAAAGGTTCTTATCAATCATGTAGTTACAAACAAGTAATAAAAATTGTTAATCTAGCTGGGCGCTAGTGGCTCAGGCCTGTAATCCTAGCTACTAAGGAGGCTGAGATCTGAGGATCGCAGTTTAAAGCCAGCCCAGGCAGGAAAGTCTGTGAGACTCTTATCTCTAATAAACCACTAGAAAACCGGAAGTGGCGCCGTGGCTTAAGGGGTAGAGCGTGGCTTAAGGGGTAGTGCGTTCGCCTTGAGCTGAAGAGTGCAGGGACAGTGCCCAAGCCCAGAGTTCAAGACCCACAACCAACCAAAAAAAAAAAGTTAATCTGTCTTAAGTCATTGCTCTGTTCAGAGCATTAACTTTACCCTGCCCTTTGCTCCTATGTATTTCTATATTCTGGTTTTAGCTACTTGTTTCAGGGTACCAAGATAATAGGTACATGGCACCCAGTCAGCCCACCTTAATACTTTTCTTAGTTTTCCCGTCAATTTCTCAGTTTAGGACTAAACTTCACTTTTCTAAAAAGGCACAAAAGCAGTGTTTACAGTGTTTTTTGTAAAACAATTTTAGTAAATATTCCTTATATTAAAGTGTAACAAAACAGCAATTAGCAGTGTTCTGAAGATGCTTATGTGGAAAGCTGGTTAGCTGATATTTATCTCTTGAAATGTTAAAATGAGTACAGCCAAGTTATTTGCTAACCAAGTTATTTTCAAACCATAAGCTCCTATGTAAGGATTTGAGGTAGGTTTATCCTAATATCCCAAAGATTCTTGTACTTAAAGGAGAGCTGGAGCTGAGTGTCGGTGGCTCATGCCTACAATCATAGCTTCATAGGAAGCTGAGACGTGGACGATCACATTTGAAATCAGCACAGGCAGAAAAGGCTGAGACTCTACGGACTAACTAGCGAAAAAGCTGGTTGGAGGCATGGTTCAGGTGGCATCAGCCATAAGAAAGCAGAGTGAAGAATGACAAGGATTCTAACTTTATACCCTGAGACTGGCCAAAAAAAAAAAAAATAGCTGATGGTTTTTCAGTACCTTTTGTTGGCCCAAAACAACTCTCCTGTGTACAGAATCCCTTAATACAGATAACCTTATTGCTAATAAAGGATTATATCTGCCTCTCATGGAAAAGACAGTAGTATTGGGATTAGCACCTAGCACCCAGGACTCAATTTCTCTTTTCTTCCTGTAAGAGTCAAAGGCTTTATGTATTAATAACGTATGACCAGGCATTACCATAAAATATATGTGTATGTATACATTAATTTAAAGCTCAGTTTAAGATTAGGTAACAGTGTCATCCTACTAATAGAAGTCTAAACATTTGACCATGACGCCATAAGCAAAACCTGAACACAAACCTAAATGTACCTCTGTGTGTGTGTGTTTGTGTGTGTAAATATGTTTTTTTTGTACTTGGGGAAAGGAGTAAAAACAAAACAAAATTCTGTTTGCTAATAGTATCAAATGGTTATCACGTCCTGTACACCTCTAACTCTACTCTAGGCTGGGTTCTAAGGATGGAACAAGAACCTTCTGCCATGTTGGCCATTCTCTGGGGATTTGGTTATAGAGAGGATGAATAAACTCTTGCATTAATACCCTTTATGTTCTTCACAATAAATCTTTTTTTTTTTTGGTCAGTCATGGGGCTTGAACTTGCTGTCCCTGAGCTCTTCAGCTCAAGCCAAGTATTCTACCACTTGAACCATAGCGCCACTTTTCTGGTTTTTTGATGATTAATGGGAGGTAAGAGTTTCATGGATTTTCTTGCTGGGGCTGGCTTTGAACAGTGATCATCAGATCTTAGCCTCCTGAGTAGCTAGGATTACAGGTATGAGCCATCGGCGCCTGGCTCAGTAAATAAGTCTTGAGGCACTTTAATGTTATGTTCTTACTAAAGTATATGAACTCTTGGATTTACTTACTTTAGAAGACAGCACAGGCAAGGACTAGAACTTTTTTTTAATTTTTAAATTATCACTAAAAGACACTCCATATCATAAGTTGTATGTTCCAATTGTACCACCCAGTGGCAATAAAGGGAAATATATATAGATATCCTCTCCAATTTTTGATGGAATTATTTTTAGATAAATCCATCAGAAACATTGTAACTCAACATGCATTTAATATACCTAGCCTGCTGACCACCACAGCAACACAGTACACTGTGGAGTGTTCTTTACCTTGTGATGGTGTGGCTGGCTGGCTGGGAGCTGCATACAGTTTGCTCCTTTTGCCCAGCCAGCACTGTGACCACATATTGGCTAACACAAGATCAAAATTCAAAATTGAGCACTCAATATATGTTACTATGTAGACAGATATTTACATTTTTTCTAGATATAACTTGAGATTAGAAATGGTAGATCATTTGCTAAGAAGAGGTAACTTTTTAAAAAAACTACAAGACTTCCTCAAAGTGACTTAATTATTTGAGATCTTATAGTGCTTGCTGAGAGAATGTATTCACTAACAGCTCATAAATTGTCCATAAACTTTGCTTAAATAGCTAGTAGGTACTTATGACTTAGTACAAACCATAGTATATACTCATTAGCAATGTTATTTTTATATATCAAAAGAACACAGAGCCAGGTGCTGGGGAATCCTAGCTACTCAGGTGGCTGAGATCTGAGAATCAAGGTTTGGAGCCATCCAGGGTAGATAAATCCAATAGACTTATTTCCACTTAGTTACCAAAAGCCAGAAGTGGAGGCATGGCTCAAGTGTAGACTGCCAGTTCTAAGCCAAAAAACTGAGGGAAAGCAGAAGGCTCAGATTTCAAACCCCAGTACCAGCAAACAAACAAAAGCAAAACAAAAAAGCAAACCTCAAAAATATACATTGGCTAATGCATATATGGAGAAAAAAGTATGCAAGTGGAAATCTGATTTATGCTTCATCCAAAATCCATTTGTCCTCAAATTTTTAATTTCATCTGCTTACATGATAGCATTTTAAAAAATGATACCAGTTGGCCTAAAGCATGAAAGTGGCCAATATCTATTAGATGAAGTATTACTCACTGGAAGAATTTCAAATGTCTGTAGTGTTCCACTGTTTAGTGTTACTGTTTCTGGGTCAACAGTAGCAGCAGGAGAGTCTGTTGAAGCTGTAGTAAGAACAAGGACAATAATAAAATGTTTGTCATAAAGGAAATTTCATATTGAATAATAAGTCATCAGAATTTCTTCTGAAAGAAATCTAATGGATTTATCTAGGGTGAAATACAGAACATATTTATGCACAATTGTCATACACAGCCAACTTAATGAAACAGAAGTATGCCCACTCATTCATGTTTTAAGTGCTCTGTATTTAAACTACAGAGTACTTGTATTTGTGAGATATCCTAAGGCTCACAAAGCCTAAAAAACTTATGACTATACAAAATTTTTGCTGGTCCTTGGTATTTACCATAAAAAAATTTCTAATGTTAGGAAGCAAGAACATATCAGGACAAACCTGGAGAGATAAAAGGAACTGGCACAATGAATTTTTGTGGGCATTCTGACATACAGTATAGATGTTTGGATTGGTATTCATAACACTAGGTATGAGTTCAAGTGACACTGCTTCCTAGCTGTGTAAACCTTGGAAAATAACTTACTTGATCCAAACTAATGTCTACAGAGATTTGTCTTGCTTGTTTCATATTAGTTGTTCTGAGGATTAAAAACAGATTTATACATAGTAAATGTAAGGTGTTTTTAGTTCAAAAGATCACATTTGGGGGACTAAACAGGAGATTTTGTGTACAATGCTAAATAAGAGTAATAGTTAAAACACAGTTATATTCAGTTATCTTGCTGGAAAAAATAAGATTAATATGAAAGCACCATTTACACAGTATTTGCTGTCTTCCTAATAGGTATTGTCAACCCAAGGAAAACTAAATCAGTTGTTGGCCCACAGTAACTCATTTATTTGAATTAGTAATTTCACTGACATTGCAGTTCTCAGATTACAAAACAAAAACAAGCAAGGCCAAAGGAAATTTTTTTTCATTATTTATTACATTGAAAGGAAGATGAAACAACCAAACTTATATTAGGATTTAAGATGTATGATTGTTTTCAAAATCACCCCTCTTTTGGTTTTGGTGCCGGGATCAAACTCAGGATCCCAAGCATGATAGACAAATCAACTACCACTGAGTTATCCAATCACATATACAGTTTTATTGTGTAAATAACAACAGTTATTTTTAACCAAGAGACCAGACCATACATTTGGAAATGTGTGGGGTATTTCTTTTATGATGGTAAAGCACTACTTGTATTTTGTGGGTAAGGTCAAGGGTATCTATGCATTGAGCAATCTGAAGGACAGTTCTGCATACATTTATTTGTCTCAATGCCAAAGGGGGTGGGGAGACTGGTTGATAATAACACAGTGATTGGTACATTTATGAGTAATAACGGTTTCATAGGCACAAAGCATTTTAGGATCTCCACCTATTTAAATACAAGTGAGATAAGGATTAAATAAGGATAAAAAACAGTGAAAAAGGTATGAAAAGTCAACTTGGTTTAGAGGTAAAGAAAATATTTTGCATTTCAACAATAAATTCTGGGTTCTCATAAATCTTATTAAGTATAAAATTAACAAAAGCTAAGGAAAAGAGAATGATTATTTTTTCTGACACTAGCCCTTTAATTCCCTAAAAAATAATTTCAACCTCAATGAAACCAATTTTCCTTTGATAGTTAATACTGTAAATCTATCCTCAATTGTGTATGCTCTGGTGAACTTACCATCTACCACCTGTGAACTCATTTCTTTCCTTGATATAATTTTAGGTAGTTTCTATTAACCATTAATTTTGATTTCTACTTGAGTGGCTCTTATTAAATCCTTTATTATAAAATCTAGAAAGATGTTAAATCATCTTTGACTGTGATTTATAATGGCCAAGCCTGCCATATACCCATACATTACACAAATATTAACTGAACATAAAAATGCCTTAGATGTCACTTAATCATCTTGGGCACGTTTCTATCAGTACCTTAGAAGACTGAAACTATCAGAGCCATTAACCATATCATACAAGTCCAGTAACAAGGAGTCTTGAGGTCCCAACACTTACAGACATGGGTAATCTGGACTGGAATCTGCAATGCTGTCATGGGGCTTGGAGAGATGGCTGTATTATCTTCCAAGCGCGCGACTCTGATCTGAACATGTTGTACACTGGAATTGGAATTACTGTTTGGAACTCCAGATCCTGATTTATTCTCCAAAAGCACTGGGTTGTTTTTTTGGTTCTCGTGTAACTGTTTAAGACCTTTTATTAAGACTGAAGGGAGATGGGTAGACAAAAAAAAGAACATTGACTCTCGGTAGACTATCATCTAAGCAACAAGGGACACAGGGTGAGAGGGAAAGTATTTGGAATGAATTTTATTTTGGATGTAATAACTTACCAAACAAAATAGTAAAATCATGGCCTGAAATTATTAGAAACATCCATCATAGCAATTATTTTTTTGAGTTGGAGCTAGTCTCAAATGATCCTTTAGCTTCAGCTTCCTGTGTAGCTGGGGCTACAGATATGTATATGCCAGATTTTTTAAATCCTCCACTTTCATCCCCCCAATTTTATCCTCCCACACATGGGATGATAGGCAAACACCACTCCCAGATGGGATTCAGATGGGATCTTCAATTTTTATTTCCCAGGCTGGTATTGAACCACCATCCTTACCATCTCAGCATCCAAATATCTGAGATTACCAGCATGAGCCACTGGTATATATGGTGAATGTTTTTTTTTAATTTAGTTTTCTTTGAAAAATAAAAGTTGGTGTTTATACTAAGGGGAATGAATCTGATAACACAAAGTGTGTTTCCTCTTCATAGTTTATGTGAAAGAAAAAGAGTATGTGTGTAAATGTGTATATTTTCATCTTATGGGCCTTGGAAATCACAAATCATTAACTCTTCTCTATGAAAACAAGGACTCAGGGCAGAATTTTAAGTAAAAAATCTGTTTTGATGATTTTCTTCTGAGGCAAAAAAACTTCTAACCTTTAAACTTCCAAGAAGTAAATACAGTAAGGGAAGGACTTTAAAAAGCAAGTAATACATTACCAGGGAATGAAACATCCTTATGGTTTGCAATTTGCCTTTTGATGGTCCACCATTTACTTCTAAGCCATTGTGGTGAACGGACGCTGCTCCATCCCTCAGCTAACAGATCCCAGTTTATGTCATTTTCATCAGCTACATCAAGTTCTGCTATCCTACAGGTTACAAAATAAGCACAGATTAGATGCTAAATTTAATTTCTCAGTAAGAACCCTCTTCTTCTTGTAGGTGACAATGATACAAGAAATAAAGGGAACCTTTACTTATACCAGTGAGATGCTATATTAAGTTTGTATGAGGGAAAGGGTTCCATTTACAGACATGCTTTCAGAGCTATGAGTTAAATTGCTATCAGCAACAGCCTTTGTTTAAAGATCTAAGTAGTGGCTGAATGGTAGATACATGGTTAGAACCAGATGAAGCACTGTAAAGGAAAGGAAACAGGCTAAAGGTTAGAAGCAATTAAAGAACAGTTTAGTTGTAAAATGATTTGCAATATTTCATGGTGTGGTCGCTGAGCTTTTCCATTTGTAAAAATGTTCAGAAACAGCCATTTAAAAGAAGACAGTTGAAATAGGGAAAAACCTGTATTTAAAACAAACTGATAGACAAAAACAATATAATAGTACAACTAACTAAATCTGGGGATTTAAAAGTCTTAAATTTTTCAGTTTTAATTGCTTTGATAATTTTGATATCCTCAAGGTATAGCCACAATAATGATATTTAAGTTCAATATCTTAAATATTTTCTTGCTGGTGTTTTGGCTTATTTGGTTCCTGAGTTTTACTGGTTAAACAAAATACCTTGATTTGTGTTTAACTGAATTTGAAAGTATATGCCCCGCATCTTGGCAATTTTAAGCACAGTAGCCAAGGATTGAAGGCTATGGAGACTGAATAGGCCTCTTACCCTAAACATGTTCCCGCTAGGCTAGGACTGAGGCACATTGGTGGGACAGTGGAAAAGCTGCACTGTCACTGCCTGTGCCATACCTGTTCTGTGGACATAGAGAGGACTTCAGTCTCCACGCCTTCAATCTGGTACTTTGCCCCGGCACTAAATCCACTAAAAAGGAACAAACACAAAACAAACAAACAAAAGAGCTCAATATGAAATACTTTAGATCATGAATAAAAGCTCTAAGGAAAGGATGCTTTTCAGATATTAAGCATTTAGGAGACCAAGGAAGAAAGTCATCAAGACTATTACAAAATTAATCAAGTTTTGGCATTAAAAGATTTAGTACAAACCTAAGGATGAGATTGATTTCATCTTCCTTGGTCCATTCAGTACCCCCACTCTGTTTCCAGTTCAGGTAGTTGAGCCATTTAGAACGACATTGTTTTTCTGAGCGGGTACCCACTCGTTCAGCCACAGCTGCCCAAGACACACCCTGTGTGACTATGTCACCTGGCTCAGTGCTTGTCAATTCATGAACCACCTCTGCAAGTCTCTTTTCTTCATCTTCTGTCCATTTCCCTGAAAGAAAGAAATCATCCAGACTACCACTGCTTTTTGCCAATCCTGGGGCTTGAACTCAGGGCTGTCCCTGAGCTGCTTTTGTGCAAGGCTAGCACTCTATCTCTCAAGCCACAGTGCCACTTCCAGCCTTTTCTGTTTATGTGGTACTAAGGAACTGAACTCATGGTTTCATGCATGCTAGGCAATCACTCTACCACTAAGCTACATTCCCAGCCTCCCTGATACTTTTTTGACTTGTATAGAGCTGATTCAGTCCTATATTTCCAAGTACTGACAGGAAGCATCCAGTAAGAGTTCAATTACCCAAAACACAACCACAAAGAATTTTATCAAGTTATGCCAAGTCTCTTATATGTAAAACCTTTACTCTAAACACAACCACAAATAAAAAATGAAGTGGTAGATAGTTCAAGAGGCTATTATTTATAAGAATAGATAGGAGCTACAAATACAACAATATCTTCTCACCTATTTAAGTAATGATCTTTTATCATCTTGTTCAAACTACTGTGATAAAATATTAAATCTGAAACAAGTATTCAAACACTTTTATTCCTGTTTTTTTTTCTGAGCCTGTAAATTCACTAACACACTAAATATTCCTCTCCATTTTAAAGAAATGGAGTTTGAGCAGAAAACTAATAAAGAAATGTTAACTTTTGACTTAATTACTAGTACATAATTATAGGGGTTTCAAAAAAGCTTGCTTCAGGAATAAATTCAGCAATTTTTTACTACTTAGATACCACTGATGGATTCAAAACAAATCTTATTATATTAAATAGCTTGACATCAAAGGAAGGAAACATACAAAGAGTGTCATTCATGGTATAGTACACAGGAGAAATTCACCAGAAGCAATGTCATAACATGAAAAGGAAGTGTCCTCCCAAATTATGTAACAAAAGAAGCACTGTTCATAGTACTGTATGTGAAAGCAGCTTATTTATGTTAACTCATGTCTTATCCTAAAAGTAAAGGTCCAATCGATCCCTACATTAAGCTAGCTACACCCAAGATTAACAAAGTAAAATTTAGGTACTCACTGTCTTGCTGATAATACTAATAGTGACAGTAACAGCTAAGGACAAAATGGTCTTGTTTAGTAGGGTAAGAGATAAGGATAAAAATTATATGCCTGACAATGAAGTTAAAATGGAGAACTCCTTTTTTGTTTTTATTGAAAAACTGAATTTGGGATTGATAGGGCAAAGAGGGAATTATGATGAGGCTCAAAGGTCAAGTGATAGTGGCAGAGACAAAGTACTATTTATTGTTGGTAAAAAGGTTAGCTTTAACACTATCCATACATTTGAGTACATTTAGAAACATTTGTAGTCTGGGTGGGTGGGAAAATGAAATCCCTATAATTATAGGTTTGTTTTATGGAAATGTATACTTTGAACTTGTCCTAAAATATATACAACCCTTTGAACAGAACTTCTATTTTGTCACTTGTCTGTTGCTAAAGTTTGCATAAATCTGAATTGAATAATAAGCTGCTGTTGCTGTTCAGTTAGATTGGCCTATATTAAAAATCACCTCTTGTATGTATGTCGTAAAAAGAAATACTTGCCCTATTGGGACACAGCTTTGAATTTCTGAAAACTGTGAAATGGTAAATGTAAATCTTTTGAAATGGAACAGATGTCATGTCCTTATGCGTAATGCCACCTTATATAAAAGAATAAAACCAAGGACTATAGTTTGATCTATTAAACTGAAAAAAGGTGAGGACTAGGAAATAATTCACCTTAAGCCAACATTTTTTCCTTCAGATAAGAAAGCACTATCTGATAGGCTAGAAGCTTAAAGAGTGATAAGAAACCCTGCCAGTGCACTCACAGTACCTGTGTTGCAAGTATCCTTCATCAGTCTGCACCGATCTTTGACAGAAGATGCGCTTCTTCCTAGCGCCGCCCCTATTGTTGCCCAGTCATTGCCATGCTTTATCCGGAGCCTAAAACAAGAGTCTGCCAATCAGCATTTGGTTCAACTGTTTTCTCCCTTTTAATTTCATCATTTATTCTTCATTCTTCTTCTTCCCATTTGACTGGTTTGGAAGTTGTGGGCAGCAATACTTTGAGAGCCAAAGTTTGAAAGTGTGGCCTTTTATTGGGGTCCACAGTTGTCTGTGGGTGAAAAAAAAACAGGCAGCAATTGCCCTTTTCCTGGGTCAGAGAAGAAATAAATAACTTGGATATGTGTTCAAAAAAGATCAAATTTCCCCTCAGGTTATTGATACAATCTCCCAGGCTAGCCCCAGATTTTTCCCTTTTGAGCACACACCTAACAAGCTCTTCTTTAGATATGTGAAAAAGCTTCACAGATCCTTATCATCATAAATAGAATGTAACCTCAAATTTTTTCATGATCTATAAAGTCCATTAAACCTATTTTATGACTCTAACTCAATGAAATAAAATCATGCTTGACTTGGCAGTCTTGACCAGCATAAATATTTAGTGAAGTATTTGCCAAGTCATTATTTTAAATTAAGCTATGAAGCAAAACCCTGTTTTTAATGTTGGTATATAAATCCCCCAAATGTAGTCTTAGGCCACCAAAAATGTCCATTTTATCTTTCTGGAAGCCCTGTTAATGGTCTGATGAAGTATCCAGTAGACTAACAATAGGAGGCTAAATTTGTATGTTATGGGCATAGCCTTATTATATTAGTTCTATAGCTGATAAGCTCTTAAAATAGCCAGTTATGCTTAACAGCAAGATTATACCAGTCTGCTACAAACTGCCCCACTTTCATATTAAAAGTTTAAAATTACAAGACAAAAAGCAAATAACAGAATCAATAAAATAAAATTTAAAACTTACTCCTTAAGCTTCTCAATTTCACCAGGTGTATATCTAAAAATTCAGAGAAATTAAAAAAATTAAAATGAGGAATTAAATACTTTAATATGTCAGAATTTTAGATACCTCATTACAATCACTTAGCCTATTGACATTCTTAAAGTGACCCATTTTATTGAAGTGAATAAAAGTTAAAAATAATTCTATTTTGTTAAAAGGAAAAAAAGGGCCATTACTTTTAGCTGTAATATAAATACTGTAATTTTCTTTAGAAATATTGAATGTTTAAAACATTTGTTCCTATTATTGCCTGGCTTTTATTTCAAAGTTGTTAAGGCACTTGAAATCATAGCTCTTCTGAAAGATTTATGGATGACAATCGAAATGACAGGTAAAAAGAAAATCCGTGGAAAATTCTCTTAAGACACTGAAAAAATTGACATTTTCTTCATTTCCCCCAGCAAAGCATTGACATCTTTGACTGTTTCAATACAGCAGCTGCAATGTCAATTTATTTACAATTTTTCCCCCATTGTCATAATACATAATCTATTTTCTTCAGCTTTCAAGTATATTTTCTTTAGCAGGCTGCTGAAGAGCTAGAAGAAAACCAGTATCAGTAGCTCAGTCTTAGTAGTATCTAGTAAGTCATATTACTAGCACTGAAACTTCCCAAAGACAAATAATATCCAGGCATTGTCTCCAGATAGCTATTCTCCACTATTTTCATTTACAAAAATGGTCTCTGTGCTAATAAATACTTTACTATAAAATCAGAAAGGTTCCAAGGAATACATTTTTTAACACTTTCTACATCTTCAACAACTATGCTTCTATATTTTTTATGCTACTACTTTTTATTTTTTATGCTGCTTTTTTGGCCAGTCTGTGTCTTTTGAACTCAAGGCCTGGAACAGTTCCTGAGCTTTTGCTCAAGCTAGTACTCTACCTCTTGAGCCATAGTGCCACTTCTGGCCTTTTCTGTTTATGTGGTAATGAGTAACTGAACCCAGGGATTCATGCATGCTATGCAAGCACTCTACCACAAGGCCACACTCCCAGCCCTTTATGCTACTTATTTAATGCTTTTATGCTACTATACTTTTTATGTTACTTTCTTACAGAACAGACTTTGTCATAGAAAGTTGAACCTTTACTTTAACCTAATAGTAAGACAATTCAGTCTGATTTCCAAAAGAGAGTTTATTCTTTTCAACCTAGAACTAGAAGATCAAATTATTATGGATAATAATCCATAGCTGTCACCACTTAAGTCACTGATTGTTGCTGTATTTTAAAAATTAACAGATTCTTTTAACTAGTCCCCCAAATTACATGAAAACATGCAGCATTACAAGTTTTCATACTTTCCCACATGGTTTCTGTCATCATACATGCGAAGCACTCTTCTATATACTGCAAACAAAGGCCGGTTCAGACCCCATGCTATAGTTCTGTAGAAATCTTTTCTTTCGTCCTTTGACATCTCAAAGATGATTTCTGTAGCATCTTTTATTCCGCGTGCCTAAATGGGTTACATTTCTTTCATTTAGGGATTTCTGATAAAATCATGTGAATATACTATGCTTTTAAACTTGCTTTAATGTTAAAGATCATCAAAGGCATTTATTAAAAAAAAGATATTGCTAGTTAGTAATGGTTATAAATGTTAAAGTATTTAGGTAATAAATTTTTATTGTTCCAAAATTAAAATAATATTCAACAGATTCAATTTAAGTGTTTTAAAGTTATTGAAAAAATTTAAATAAAGTAGAAAAAACATACAAAAAATAAATCTAGAAATTGTATTTTTGATAGAAAAAATTGAAACAATTTACTTCTAGCAACAAAATAAAACAGAACACAACTGTAAATAATATAAGAATCAAAAAAGTAGGGCCTAAGTAGAGAAGCTTCAGAGATTGAGACAATAAATGAACATTAACAATTTTGTGGCAATAACATTTGAATGTCTATGAAATGAACACAGTCCTAGAAAAAAAATCAACTTACCACAAATGACTGGAAAAAATAGCAAATCAACTAGGCCCAGACCAACAAGAAACTTTCATAAATTCATTATCATCATCTTTCCATACTGAAAACCCTAAGCCCAGAGTATAAATTGTAACCAATAGTTAAGAGAAACGTAATTATGATCTTAAATTATTCTACAGTAAAGAGGAGAAAAATGCTACTTCCTTGCTCATTTTATCAGGCTGGCATAATCTCAATGGGAAAATCAGACAAAGACAGTTTCAGAAAATAATTGTTAGGTCAAGCTCATTCATTAATATAGATCCTTTCTTCATAGTGTAGCACAGTAAACCCAACAATGTATAAAGTTAATACATCAATGTCAAAAAAAAAAAAAAAATAAATGCAAAACTCCCAAATTCCTTTATCCCAGGAATACAAACTCATGTCAGTTTCAGAGAAACTACTGATGTGATTGGTCATATCATTGCATGAAAAAAGGGTAAAATTTCAAAAGATATGGCAAAAGCCACTCACAAATGACTTTTTTTCTTTGGTGCTAGTTCTGGGGCTTGAGCCCTTGAACTCAGTGCCTCATACTATTGCTCAGCTTTTTCCCCAAGGCTGGTACTCTACCACTTGAGCCAAACCCCAAGCTCAACTTTTGGCTAATTATTTGAAGATGGAGCCTCTTAGACTTTTCAATCTTCCAGGTTACAGACTGAGTAGTTATGATTATAGGTATAAGCCACCACCAGTACATGGCTCTAAATGATTTGCAATGTATTTGTGAATACAATGTTTACTATTTCTTTTTCTAAAACAATAAACTCAGTGAAAAGATCTTTATTCACCAGTAAATAATAAAGGATTTTAAACTTTATAGTTTTCAAATCTTAACTTGTAGTCAAAATTAAGATGACAATATACTTATATATATTGAATAAATGGTTAAATACTGTACCTGTCCCCCACTCTCCAAACAATACTAATGATGTACTTTTCAAACATAAACTATTTGAACCCTTATATGAGGATAAGCAGTAAGTCTCTTGGAAAGATTTCCATAAGGAAGAGTATGAATCCATCCCATCAACTTCTTACAACTCAACTTAAAAGCTTTAATGCTTTATTTTTGCTTCAGAATAAAGTTCTAATTGTTTGGTCTTGACTTCGAAGTCCAGTTTTACAGGGGCATTTACCTGATTCAAATTAAAGGGGCTAATTTAGTTTAATGTGATTTAGTGTTTTTGATCTCTGATTGCTTGCTAATCAGCATTTATGCTGTTTCCTCTAGTTAATCATATTTAAATTCTTTTTTAGACCTAGCTCAAATCCTTACTCTTCCAAAATTTTTGAACTCTTGTAGTGTAGGTCACAGTTATCACTCATATGTTAAAATCTTGTACCATTCACATGTTTTGTTTTTCTAAATAGATGCTGTTTTGTTTCAAAAACATATACTGCATATTAAGGAAATTACTGCCTTCAGAGCCACAACATTCTATGTTCAATGGACAAATAACAAAGAATTCTGAGTTTTTTGTTTTTGGTCAGTCATGGGGCCTGAACTCTGGGCCTGGGCACTGTCCCTCAACTCTTTAACTCAAAACTAGTGTTCTACCACATGAGCCACAGTGCCACTTCTGGCTTTTTCTGCTTTATGTGGTGCTGAGGAACCAAACCCAGGGCCTCATGCATGCAAGGCAAGCACTCTATCACTGAGCCACCTTTCCAGCCCTGAATTTTGAGTTTTAAGTGGAAAGAAGATAGTTACCCTCAGGCTAAATTACATAAAATAAACTATTTTTAAGTTACTTGAAAAGACAAGGCCAAGCTGTTGACAGGCTACAAAGATTTTTGCCTAAACTCTAGTTGGTAACGAAAGCAATTTTTATTACTATTTTATGCTGAGAACTCAAAAAATTTAAATGTATTATACTCTAAGTATAAACTTGTGAATTATTAAGCCATAATTTATTGTAAATCATCTATTATAAAAGTTAATGAAAAGCTCCCAGCAAATCACATGTAATACTATTTGGATATTTTTGCAATCAATAAACAAAGTGGTAAACATAAAAACTATGCCACGGAGTACCTTTAGATAGCGTTCAATGTTGCTCATCAAAATATCAATTTCTTCCTTGGACCACATCCCCTGCTTCCACTTATGTCCTTCAAAAAATTTTTAAAATATTATCTTTACAAAATATAAGTAATAAAAGGAGATTTATAAAATCAAGAAAGTTAAAATCAAAACTTTTTCCCCATAAAAAATATTTTTATAAGCAAAAGATCTTAGACAACAACATGAAAGTAATAAACTGGATACCAAATAAATACATTCTTGAAGAGTACTATATAGTATAGTTAGGAACAATTCTATCTACTTCCTTCCTTACTTCAAAATGGCATATATACAAACCCTAGTGTTGTTTGTTTGTTTGTTTTTTGAGTCCAGTGGTGGGGCCTGAACTCTGGGCCTGGGCGCTGTCCCTCAGCTCTTCAGCTCAAGGCTAGTGCTCTAACACTTGAGCCACAGCACCACTTCTGGCTTTTTTCTTTTTGCTTATGAAGTGCTGAAGAATTGAATCCAGGGGCCTCATGCATGCAAGGCAAGCGCTCTACCACTGAGCCACCTTCCTAGTGTTTTTTTAGCAGCTTTTCAGCTCTGCTAAAAACATGGTTGATTAAAATTTCAGACTAAAGTTAATAGACTTCTTTCTATTCTCAAGAGTGATAACTGAATTGCGTTTTAAATACCACCAAGCCACATTTGTTCAAAAATAAACAAGACAAAATCTACTTTGTATTAGAAAATTAATAATTATTGAAAATCAAGTCATTCAGGGTGAAATTTAATTCATTTAGAAAATCTCAATGGATACGATTTCACAATAATGAAGGTCCTAAGCCCTTTATCTTCTTTTCTTTTTCCCTTCTTACTGGTAACTAAAATGCATTGAACATCTTACCTTTGTTAGTTAGTGAATCCTTATCCTCTTTAGTTGTAAACCATGCTTGGCTAACTGCTGATACTTCCTCATTACCCAAGGCAGATATTTCATCTAGTTGTTCATTCTGTAAAATCTTAAAAAGGTGGAAGTGTTAAAAAAAAAAGCAGTTTGAATCTATTCAACGTAATTCATCTTTGTTTATAAACCGTAGGCATTTTTTAGATACAGTGGCCTCAACTTTTTATAATGTAGGCCAATTACATTATTTAAATAACTGTGGTACACACTTAAATAATTGTGGTACACACTTGTAATTCTAATACTTAGAAAGTTGAGGCAAGATTTCAAGTAGTTCAAGGTCATCATAAGCTCCATAGCAAGAACTTGTCTTAAAAAAAAAAAAAATATATATATATACACACACACATATGTATGATACTTATTTACCTAGGTAAAATGAGTTTACACATAGTCATTCCAGATAGGAAAATAGAAATACTAGAGTTGGATGCTATTATTGAGTAATATAGCAGAAGTGTTTTGTTGCTTAAAGATAGTCATCTATAATTTCTTGATAGACAAGATTAATAGGCTCAATCACACGATGTTATTACGTGATCATTATGTGCTTCTAGTATAGTGATTACTGAATGTTTTATAATCTTATTTATGTATCTGCTTCTCAAAGAACTGAATGGTACTAATAACACTACAAGCTAAAGTAACTTTCTTGTGTAACCCCATCACTGGTCACATTTTCAATAACAGACATACCTTTGTCTAACAAATTCTGCAAATTTTAACAAAGCTGCTTTTAATACAACTGACCTTGGCCTAAAGGAGTATCCAGTAAATGAGTAAGACTTAGTAACTACCATATCAGACATGAACCTATCATAGGAAGACCAGGATAAGAAGAGTCACTGAAGTCCATCTTACTTGGAAGTCTTTATTATAATGTGTGTATATTTATGTTTATAATTGTATATTTATATTTGTATTGACCCAGATACAGAGCTATAGACCTTTTCATTCTTGTTCCTGTGATTCCTAGCTGAATTTAAAAAGACTTCATAAATACAGTATGTTGCTACCTGGTAGAAAAATGAACTAGTAAGAGTAGAGGTTCTTATTGTGCTTTAGTTGTTCACTAATATCCTATTCAAATTACTTGCTGAAATCAAAGAATGAATTGTAAGGAGCTCCTCCATCCTTGTTCAAAGTTGACATTTGAGACTCCCTCCTTTGGTAATTTTGTGATTTTTGGAACCTCTTTGATACTTATTACCAAGGGCAAAGGTTCAAAGTAATACAATGACATTAGGGTTGTTTTTGATGCTACATATCAACTTGTAACTATCATATTAAATGGTCATTGTGAAGAGATGAAGCAAAAGGAAAAGCTACTTAAACCAAAAGGCACAATCAGGAAGACAAAAATTTTTTTTTTTGAGGGGGAGGGTCTGGTAGTGGGGCCTGAACTCTGGGCCTGGGCGCTGTCCCTCAGCTCTTCAGCTCAAGGCTAGCGCTCTACCACTTGAGCCACAGCGCCACTTCTGGATTTTTTCTTTTTGCTTATGAAGTGCTGAAGAATCAAACCCAGGGCCTCATGCATGCAAGGCAAGTGCTCTACCACTGAGCCACCTTCCCAGCCCCAAGACAAATTTTTAAGAAATACAAATTTAAGCTTTAGACTATGTAAGATGGCAAAATTTTCTGATTTTGACCAACAGTAACTTAGCTGGGACTGAAACAACTCCTAACTACTTTCTAACCTCTCAACACATAGAAAAATATATCTAGTCCTATAGACATAAGAAATCACAGTACTAACATACTGATATTGATTAACAGCTCATCACTAACACATAATGAATGTCCTTATATCCTTTCCTGTTTCAACAGATGTGAGCCACTCAACAGGGATTGAATTTTACTAAATTATGTTTACAACTGAGACTCATATGTGGAGGACTAGAAACCTCAAAAAAGTGCTATCTTTCATTTTATGATTGTTTTTGTCCAAAAACGTGTGTTTTTAACATTTTAAAATATAAACCATATATAAACTATCCTCCTCTTGAGGCCTTTGAAAGATCTACTTTACCTGGATCTGTGTCACAGTTCCCTCAGTAAGATCATCATCTGCCACCTCTGTGGTTGCAGTCATGGTCACCTCAAAGCTCTGATCATTTTCTGAAACTTCAAGAAAAGAATAATTTATCTCTACATTGATGACAGTCTCTAATTATAGTAAGAATTCTTGCAAAAATATGACCACCTAAATTCCCATTATAATTATCAGTATATCCCATATGGAAATACCTGTTTCATGCACACTACTTGTCCGTCATATTCATGTCAGGTACAGAAAAATCCTACCTTTGTGAAGCTTATATTCTAATAGAAAAAGACCTAAAATGGACATACCATTAAGGGGGATGGTACTTACAAGGTAAGAAGAAAAATATAAAAACAAGCAAGTCAGTGTGTTTGAAATTTTGGACAAGAAACTGGGGAAAATGACCAGTACTTGACACAGAGAATTAGTAAAGGAAGCTAGTCATGAAATATCTTCAGGAAAAGTATTTCAAGAAGGAAAGTCAAACACTCTGATGGGGAATGCTTTGAGAGTTCATAAGAATAGCAAGCCCAGTGTTGCTACAGTAGAATAAGCATGATTAGTAGGAGATTTTGTGTTAGAGTACGGACTCTGGCTTCACTGTGATGCAGGAAGAATCTGGATTAAGTAGTGATTTACAATGACAGTTATTTGCCAAACATAGGTAGCTTATGCTTGTAACCTAACTATTCAAGAGGCTTACATCTGAGGATTGTAATTCAAAGCCAGCCTGAGCAGGAAAGATAAAACTATTATCTCCAAATAGCCAACAAAAATCTGAAAGTGGACGTGTGTCTCAAATGGTAGAGCTCCAAGTGAGAGAACCATAAGGCCCTAAGCTCAAGTACAGGTAAATACATACATGTATACATAAATGCAATTACATCTGTAAAACTGACCAAGACTTAAAATTGATTTAGAACTTGACAGTCAAAATAGGAAAGAATTAAAAAACCTGTCAACCATTAGGAGGAAAGATCATTAAATTATAAATATTTTATATTCACATGTGAACTGTTGTTAAGTTTTTTTTATAAAATGCCACAATGGGAGTGGGGTGGGAGGGCACGGATGGTAAGGGGAAACAAAGGAGGAGGAGAAGGCAACAATGCTTGGTAAGAAATGTACTGATTACCTTGGCTCATGTAATTGTAATGCACAATAAAAAAACTTACTAATAAAAAAAGTCACAATAACTTTTCATTGCAATTTAACAAAGAATTGAGTCTAAACACAAAGTACATACACATCTTCAATTTTCAAAATGAAAATTCTGCCTGTTCTGGTGCTTGAACTCAGGGCCTGGAGTACTGTCCCAGTGAGCTTCTTTAGTTCAAGGCTAGCACTCTACCAACTTGAACCACAGTGCCACTTCTGGCCTTTTCTGTTTATGTGGTACTGAGGAATCAAACCCAGGGCTTTGTGCATGCTAGGCAAGCACTCTACCACTAAGCCACCTTCCTAGCCCTTGGCTTGATGTTTTAAAATAAAACATAAAATTAGCTATGGCACAACTCTTTAACAACAATTTGCCCCATTCTACCACGGATGAAATCACATACTCTGGCTTTGAAACCAGACAAAACAAAGCAGAATTACAACCTAAGTTGCAGTTATAGTCTTTTGTAATGGTGTTCAACCTGAGGTATTTATCTCCTCTGAAATCTAGTTTGTTCTAAACAATGTTACAATATAAACATGTTAACAACTTCTACAGTGAAAATTAATTAGGCATCTATCCAAATTCCTTTTAGTCATATGCTAAATCTCCAGTAAAGCATTGAACTGAAAGTACATACTATATAAATCACAATGCCTAGATATGACTACAGACAAGTTATTAATTTCTCTGTACCTCAGTTTCTTCATTTATAAAACAGAGATGATAATAATAGTGCCTACTATACAACATGCTTTCCTAATGAGAGTAAATATGGTCCGAGGGAAGGGGTGAAAGAACTATACACAGATACACACATGTATATAATAAACAATAGCTTCTAGGGCCAATTGTACTTTTCTTTTTTTTTTGGGTCCGGTCGTGGGGCCTGAACTCTGGGCCTAGGCACTGTCCCTCAACTCTTCAGCTCAAGGCTAGCGTTCTACCACTTGAGCCACAGCGCCACTTCCGGCTTTTTTCTTTTTGCTTATGTGGTACTGAGGAATTGAACCCAGGGCCTCAGGCATGCAAGGCAAGTGCTCTACCACTGAGCCACCTTCCCAGCCCCCCAATTGTACTTTTCATGGGGAGAGTATAATCAGCAAAAAAAAAAAGTCTAAAGAGGCTCATTATGTAGTCTACAGGTTAAAAATTTAAGAAGTATTGAGAAGATTAAGTTAGCTAACATAGGTAAAGCATTTAGAATTATGCCTGGCATATAAGTACTCATTATGCATTAAAGCTTTTTTCTTTTTACTAAATGAGTAAACTGCCCAGGCCTACCTGAAAATGCCAACTGAATCTCTTGCGAACTTAAATTTGATTTCAAAAGGCAAACTCTGTGCTCTTAATACATAGTGACTTACTTGGGAGTGCAACAACTGATATGCAAGGAGTAGAATCATCAATACTCTGATCATCCTCAGAGGACAAACAAAGCCTCTTATGTGGAGGTTCAGCACTATCTTCTGAGTCTATTTCATCAGCTTCTAGTAAAAGGAAAAAATATAAATAAAAGAATCTCAAAACCTTCTAATCAATAAGGAAAAAACAAAATCTCCATCTGGTTATGACGATAACAATTGTCTTACCCATTAAAACAACGTTTTTATTCAACAATTTAACTAAACCCCTATAGAAGGAGGACTCAACAGACATTGCTTTCTCTTTATCTACTGACAAGGAACCAAGAACAAAGATAACATATTTTTAAACCAACCAAGTATGTCATATAAAAAACAAGGCTGGATTCATTTTAAAACCAAAGATTAGAAGTCATTCATGATGTTCTAATCATAATAATCTAAAGTACTGTGAATAATATACATTCTAAATTTCTTTGTTCCTAGAAATTGCAATTCAGTAAATTTAAGTGAATACGTAAGTCTAACATATATATGCTCTATAAATGTATAGTGCATGTATTTAAATAAATATTAAATACAAATATATTTGAATAAATACAAACATTTGAATAAAAAACCAAGGCTGTTTAGTTGATTCATTGATAAATATTTACTAAATGCTTACTATGTTCTAAGTGTTCAATAGAAAAATGAAGGATAAACCCAGAATATCAACGAGCTTATGATGTAATGGAAATGAGCAAATCAACAATTTCAAAATAATGAATGAAAAGGCCCTGTTAGAGCAGAGTAGTATTTCACACGGAGTGGAGGCAAGGGAGGATTTTCTAAAGGAAGTAACTTAAACTTGAAAAAGAAGGGAGCCATGAAAAAGTGATTACTTTTCTGGGCAACATTGAGGCATGAAAGGTGTAGGTGTGTTAAGACAATGAAAATAACTCATCTACTAGAATGTAAGAAGGAGGTAAGGTTAGGAGGAAAAATGATATATGGAAAGGTCTATGTACCAAATTAAAGAATGTATACTATCTTCTAAAAAATATTAAGAGGCTTTAAAATAATTTTCCTTTGCTATTCAATTTCATGACCAATTTTATCAACATTTTGACAATTAACTAGAAGTAGGGGACTGGTTATAGCCTATTAGAGATACCCCAAAGAGAAAATAAAATCTAAACTGAAAGGACTTGAAATAGAGGAAGAAGAGTAAAAAAAAATGGATTACAAAATGCTATATAATACAACAATAAACTTCCATGATGGATGGATGTGAGTCAAGAAAAGGAATTTATTCTTAACTACATTTTATAATCTAAGACAATAAATATAAAAGGGAAAAGAGAGAAGTACATTTAAGAAGTATGTGAAAGAACTTGCTTTATGTGAAATTTAAGATGCCCATGGGGAAAACAGAAAACTCATAATTAGCTAGAATTTTGAGTCATCTGAATAGATAGGGTACTAGGTGAAACCATGTTTGACTGAAATACATCAAGATATAGAATAAAAAGATAGAATACTAAAGGTGAACCTAAAATAAAAAATGAGTAATACAAATAAAATGTAAGCAGAGACTTTTGAATCTTAAATGAAATCTTATACAAACAGTTGTGTAAAATCTTTTAGCATCATTAACAATACCAAAAACAAATATCTGCACTACTAAGACTATGTCTACATTTTATGTTGCGTTAAATATGCTACTAGTACTTAATGATATAAAAGAAGCATATTTATTCCATAATTTTGGAGACTCAACAGATCTCATTTATAAAATAGTTGTAAAATTGATAAAGGCTAAAATTATGGTAAATTTTAAAATACTAAAGCCTATTTAAAAATAAGAAAATAAAAAATATGAATTTATATCAATCTACAATCCCTAAAGATCATCCTCTTTTGCCACTAAACTATCAAGGTAATAGGGATCAAAGGTGACAAAGAATTCATAAATCTTAAAAGTCATAATATCTGCCAATAAGTTTTTCTACCATTCTGTGGGCAATGAAGAATAAGGTTCCCTTCTGTGTCCTGAGTCAATGTCACGGAATTCACAGTTTCTACAGTCACTGTGTCAGAATCCTCTTCAACTGTGCTCATACTCAAATCTGTGTAAGAATAAACTCCAGATTAGAATTTTAAAAAATATTTCAAGACAAGAACATTAAGTATCTCCATCAAATAAACACTATTTGCCTACAGTGTTCTGTGTGGGTGTGTAAGCACATCGCATACAGGCAGTACTGAAACTGAATCATAGCAACTTCTGCCTTCCTTTGCACAAATTTGTCACTCTATCACTTTAGCCACACCTACATTTCCAGCTTTTTACTAATTAGGGGTATCTCTCTGATTTATCTGCCCAGGCTGGCTTTGAAACACAATCCTCTGATCTCAGCCTCTTGAGGAGTTTGGAGTTAGGCTTGCTTTCTTGGTTTCTCCGTTCCTTTCCCCTCCCTCTCTTCCTTCCCCCTCTTTCTTTCTTATATCAGTAATTGAGTTTAGACTCAGGGCCTGGACACTATCCCTTACTTTTTTAGTTCAAGGCTAGCAGTCTACCAGTTGAACCACAGCTGCACTTCCAACTTTTTCAATGGAGAATTAGAAATAAGACTCTCACAGGCTTTCTTGCCTTGGCTGGCCTGAGACTATGATTGATCCTCAGACATCAGCCTCTATAGTAGCTAGGATTATAGGCATGAGCCACCAGCTCCTGACTTAGGCTTTCTTTTGAAAAAGAGAATGCTCAATGTTTAAATTCGTTATTTTTACCCACTATTTTGTACATACATCCTATTATTTTGTTCTTCTTGAGACAGACTGAATGATCAGGGTCCAGAATACAATATGTTCTTTTAGAAGCCAGTAGTAATGGGCTTGAACCCAGGACCTCTTAATCTCACTTGGGTTTATTATTATTATAAAAGTGATGTATGAGGGTTTACAGTTACATAAATCAGGTAAAGAGTACAGTTCTTTCTGAACAATGTTGCCTTGCCCAGTTTTCCCCTCCCATCCCGACCCACAAGTTGTATAGTTCATTCTCAACATACTGTTCAGTGAGTACCATTGCTGCATTTGTTTGCCCTTTGCCCCTCCATTTCTGTGCCTCCCCTTACACTACCAGACATATAAATGAACAAATAGAACAAAAAGGAAAGAAAACAAAAACAGCAAAAAAGTAAAAACATCCTTTTTTATTTCCTGGATAAATATTATTTTGTATGATCAGATGAACACAGGCATGCGCCTTTCTGTTCTTTTCCTAAGAGTATCTCTGTGTGAATACCTGTATTCATTTGGCTTTTCTTAACACATTTAGTGTTCTCCCACTTGAGCCACACCTCTAGTTCAGTATTTTGCTGGATAATTAAAGATAGAGTCTCGGGGCTGGGAAGGTGGCTCGGTGGTAGAGTGCTTGTCTTGCATGCATGAGGCCCTGGGTTCGATTCCTCAGCACCACATAAGCAGAAAAAATAAAAAAGCCGGAAGTGGCACTGTGGCCCAAGTGGTAGAGTGCTAGCCTTGAGCTGAAAAGCGCAGGGAGCGCCTAGGCCCAGAGTTCAAGCCCCATGACCGGACCCCCCCCCCAAAAAAAAAAGAAAAGAAAAAAGATAGAGTCTTAAAGACTTTTTTGCTCAGGCTGCTTTGAATCCTGATCCTCAGATCTCAGCTTTGCTAGGATAACAATTTTCTTTTTTAAATAATAATTGTTTATTGAGACTAAATGATTACATAAATTTCACAGATTTCACAATATTGTAGGATAGTGATAAAGTTACAAACACATTTTAACCTCGACAAGGCAAATTGTAATTATCTTGGTCTTTAAAGTTTGTGAATTCTACAAGCTTTGACAGTACAACTACAATATTCTTACAGTTGGCAGGGGTAAATGTATTTGACTATTAGTGGCCTTGTTATCTTCAGAATAACCACATAATAGTCCATGAAGTTCTTGCTTCAGTACTCAGTTTGTGTCGTATCAAGTGAGCAAAACAGATGACTTACATCTTAACATGTATTCAATTAATCCCTAATTGACTCATATATGGATATTAGTTCATTTGATTACAGTATTGGCTATTTAAATGAATATATTTTCTTTTGGCTGAAAAAAACCCCCAACATTTATATGGTGAAGATCCAGTGATGTAGTTTATTGTGAACTAATAATGTATAATAAAATTTTACTACACAAAAGGACATCACTCATTTTACAATCGTAGTAACTCAGGTCTTAGGGTGGAAATCATTTAATCATGATTATACCACAATTATAACTAAAATTATGAGTAAAATTTGCAAATCATGAGATACCTTGCAACAAGGACAGTCTTACCTAGACAATGGTGGGATCAGCTATAGCCCTTCCCAGAGAATCAAGTCGCCTTCCCTTAGACAGCAGCATCACTTTCATGTTATCCAGACTGTGTTTCCCCCATGATCCTGTCTCTGCAACAGTCTGAAAAAGTAACAAAAGGCATTATACATTAATGCTTAGTAAAAGCAAGTAATGTATGCATGTATGTTGATAACAGTTGGCCTCTAAGCTTTGTGACTCTTCAACTGAAAGAGTAAGACAAAACCCCAACTCTCTTTAGATGAAGTAATATTGTGGAAAACAGCCTGAAAAAGAACTCTATAATAAAGAACAGGAATAATGAATTCTTGTACCTACTAAGAGTTCAATTTCTCAACCTAAGGTGGTGTTAAGTAAACATTCGATGAAAAATTGGGTTTAGCTGTAGACCTTAGTTTTTTTGTGAGGGGGGAGGGGTCTTGGTCATGGGGCTTGAATTCACTGCCTGGTACTGTCCCTGAGCTTTTTTGCTTCAGACTAACATTCTACCTCTTGGAGCCATAGCTCTCACTTCTGGTTTTTAGGAGGTTAATTGGAGATAAGAGTACCTCGGACTTTCCTGCCTAAGTGGCTTCAACTTTGACCTCAGATCTCAGCCTTCTGAGTAACTAGGATTACAAGCATAAGTCACCAGTGACGGACTCTATTTCTCTCTTTTTTTGGGGGGCGGGGGGTCTGGTCGTGGGGCCTGAACTCTGGGCCTGGGCGCTGTCCCTCAGCTCTTCAGCTCAAGGCTAGCGCTCTACCACTTGTGCCACAGCACCACTTCCGGCTTTTTTCTTTTTTGCTTATGTGGTGCTGAGGAATTGAACCCAAGGTCTCGGGCATGCAAGGCAAGCACTCTACCACTGAGCCACCTTCCCAGCCCTTATTTCTTTCTTTTATTAACATAAGGTAGTTCTATGATGGAAGCTCACTGATATTTTCATAGTCACAAAATGGTTGTCAAAACCTTAGCCAAATGGCTGTTGTCAGGTCTGAGAGCTTCTTCCAAACAAGTCAAGGATCATCTCTCATTTGACAAAAAAAGAACACATCTCTTTACAAGAATATATTTTATCTTAAAGTATTAACATGTAATATTTGATCAGAAACCATTATAAAATGACAGATGTATATAGAACTCTATCTAGGAATCTGGAAAAAATAAAATGGCATCAAGCAAGCCAGAAAGGGGAAATTTCAAGATCTTCAATACGAAGTGAAGCCTTATAAAATGTGAAAAAAAAAGGTCTTCAGAAGGATTTTTAACAATAATCTGATCTTTACTACAAAAGGCCAACCAAAGAATTAAAAGAGCATAGGAGCTCAGTACAAGGATTTTCAACAATTAAAATTGGATTAAAATGTGTGTGTGTTTTGCAGAAATCAAGTAGAATTACTATCTAAGATGGTTATAGTTGAGAGTTCTTACATATAATTAAATTTGCAGTGGAAGCTTTTAATCTTGCAAGAGAAATCTCTAAGCAGCTATTGTGTTTGTCTCATTCTTGAAGGCATTCTTTACTTTTAAAGCTAGTCTAAACACCTACTAGAGAAGACACAGAAATATAGAAGACAGGTGAATATAGGAAAAAGAAAAAGTACCCCATAAACTTACCAGAAAATGAGAGCTTTCACTCTGGTATAGTTCCTTTGTATCTTACCCGTTGATGTATGTGTGAGACTACAATTTTATATTGTCCTTTTTAGAGTCCATTTACACTGAAAAGTACAAAGGAAACAAACTCATCATTTACAGGAAATTTTTCATTTGTAACTTCTGCATTAAAAAAGTAATATCAAATTCCTTATCGCTGGACATTTATGTTGTTCTCAAATTTCTTCAAATCATATTGAAACAGACATTCCTTAAGTATAATAATTTCATTATGCCCAAGGGATGGCATGGAACCTTTCAGAGTTGGGAGTCTAGTGGAAGTTTTTTGTTGTTTTTTTTTTTGGGTCCGGTCGGGGGGGTCTGAACTCTGGGCCTGGGCACTGTCCCTCAGCTCTTCAGTTCAAGGCTAGCGCTCTACCACTTGAGCCATAGCACCACTTCCAGCTTTTTTCTTTTTGCTTACGGGATGCTGAGGAATCAAACCCAGGGCCTCAGACATGCAAGGTAAGTGCTCTACCACTGAGTCACCTTCCCAGCCCCTAGTGGGAAGTTCTTAATCAGTTGGATAAGTATCCTCAATAATTATGAGATTTCCATCTCTAGCTTCCTGTTTTAAAGTATTCTCTCTTCTACCTGAGAATGCTCCTGAAATTTATTTTGGGGGCCTTTCCAGAGCCAGCAACCTATACTTTGGACTTCCACTTTCTAAAACTGAGCTAAATGAAGTTCTTTTCTTTATGACATGAACTTGTCTCAGTATTTCATGATCATGACAAAAAAAATTAAAAAAAGAGACAGGGTAGATACAAAAGGCTTTGAAAATCCTAGTTTTGAAACAGGGAATATTATTTACACTTTCTAACAGATCACTCAGATTGTAGTATACAAAATGAAAAAGTAAATTATAAAACATGTCATCCAAGAGATTATTGTGGTTTGGAAAAAGTAGCAGGAATTAATGAAAAATGGTTGGACAGAGGATATTGGTTTTTGGCAGGACCAATAGTATTTGTTAAATGAACACATGGAGAGGTGTGGTAAGAGAACTAAAGCTATTGCAATATGATTTTCTTGGCTTCTATCTTGAATTGATATGAAACATCCAAATGAAAGTGCCAAATTGATAGCGGGATATGTAGAAGCTTAACAGCCTAGAAGAGCACTTCTGAAAGAAGATTGAGAGATGTCAATGAGTAAGTCAACTTGTGATTATAGTGTTAAAAGTTGAACAATTTCACTCAGGAGGCTGAGATCTGAGGATCAACCTGGGCAGGAAATTCTCCGGGCAGGCCGGTGGGTATAGTTGCTGAAGTGAGCTGTGATTCAAGTGGCAGAGTGCTAGACTTTAGCAAAAAAACTCAGGGACAGGGCCCCAGGCTCCAACTTGAAGACCCAAGGGGGGGGGCGCAATTTAGTGCCTGTATTATAACTCATTATACACAAACTATGCTAAACACCGTCAATTCACTTTTATTTCCCCTTCTTTTGTAGTGAATTGTACCATGTGTCACTTTTATATTACTTACAAATCAAAATATATAGTGCAGGAAATAGAAAGGGATAAGCCTATAATGAAATGATATTCTTGATTTAACACACAATTCAGTTATTCATGTTAGGCTTTATCTCAGCATTGATGATAAAGTTCTGTCTTAGTACTGTCTTATCTTAGGTTGGTTATTTTCATTAAGTCTACATTCGAATCAGCTAAATATCAAATGCTACCAGGTGCCGGTGGGTCATGCCTATAATTCTAGCTACTCAGAAGGCTAAGATCTAAAGATCATTATTTGAAGCCAGTTGGGCAGAAAAGTCTGTAAGACTCTCATCTCCAATTAATCACAGAAAAAGTGGCACTGGCTCAACTGGTAGAGAGCTAGCCTTGAGCAAACGGGAACTCAGAGACAGCATCCAGGCTGTGTTCAAGCCCCAGGACTGGCCAAAAAAAAAAGCCAAGTATCTTCTTAAAAAAAAAAAAAAGATACATTTCTTCCTAGTTTGAGACCTAACTTTTGCCTTTTTTTCCCTTTTTTCTGGCCAGTAGTAGGGCTTGAATTTGGGGCCCTAAGCTCTTGTCTTTTTTTTGTTTTTGCTTATGACTGGTACTCTACCACTTAAGTCAAACCTCCAATTCCTGCTTTTTGCTTGTTCACTGGAGATAAAAATTCAGATTTGTCTGCTTTGGTTATAACTGGGATTCTCAGATCTCAGATATCCCAGTAGCTAAGATTATAGGTTGTGAGCCAACAGCACTCAGCTTTAGCTAATTTTCAGATAGGGCCTCATTTATGTTAGCCTGGCTTGTATTGAGAACCTACTTATGCTTTGCAACGTCATAGCTAGCTTTATTAAATGAGAAGGGGGGTCTTGGGAAACATGGGTTGTCCTTGAACCATCACCCTCATCTCAGCCTCACAAACAGCTAAGTTTATAGATGTGACCTGCCATACCCAGTAATACACTATTATCATGGAAAACCTACCAAAATATATGGTGAATTAAAGAGTGAAAAGCAGAGAGGCATTAATTCAATAATAAGCAAGGAGACAATCAGTTCCTATTCCCTGATATAATACCAGTTTTTCATATGCCTCTTAAAACTTTTTTATGTTACACTCCCAGTCTTTTAACCATGTATCAGGGTAACTTTGTTTTTATAATGATTCATGATACTCCTGCCTTAGCCTATGTACTTGAAACTACCATGCCTGGTTTCATAACCTCCTCTCTATCCATTTTTTTTTTTGCACCATTTACTGTAGCAGGAGCATTTTAAATGGTCACATTTAGTTTGATCAGCAAATATCGAACTTTTTGATTTTGACATTATACTATTTGTAATAACTTAATCACTGCCATACCTATATTTATACTATTGTATGATTTTTAAAAAATATGTTTCTTGAAGTATTCTTATTTTGAAAGAATGAAGAATCTCTTCCTAATAGAAAAACCTTACTGGCAGGTTAACACGTAACACAGGTATACATTCTACATAGGGATACACAGACATCAGAAAACAGACAAGGCCACAGAATCACATTTTGAGTACTAGTTTTATTCCATACAGAAATACAACACTTCATACTTGAGGTAGAATGCTTAGTACATGGTTCCAGAGCCTTGAAATTGTGTCTTTATATAATCTGTGAAAAAGTTTAAGAGCAGATTTATGAAGCATACAAAATTAAGGTACTTAATGTTCATTGACTTTAACACTGGGGTTGAATGTAGGTCCTTAAACTTGCCAGGCAGGTGCTCTGTATAGCTTGATTTTTAAGATAAAAAATGACTATAAACTATAATGTGTCAATAATGTTTGTAAGTCTATTCTAATAGGTTTCTTTTGTATATGTGTGCATGCATGTGTGCCAGTATGGGGGGAACTCAGGGCCTGGGCACTGTCCTTGGACCCTAATCCTCAGATCTCAGCCTCCTGAGTAGATGGGATTTCAGGCATGAGCCACTGGCACAAAGCTTTCTAATAAGTTTCAATTGCTTCAGATGTAATTATTATTTGAATAAGAAGAATTACTTGGTAATCTAGGTCGTTTTAAGGTAAAAGATTTAATACCTGACAACAAAACTATTGCCTACTAAAAAGTTATTTTTCATCTAGTGCATGATTTAAGGGTTTTTGTTTGCCTATACTATCAGTTATTCAAGACTGAGCACTTTTATACAAGACACCAACAAAAGCTCTATAAAAGGAAATAAAAATTATTACCCAGTTCCTCTGATTTACATTCGAGTTAATTTTCAAAGCACATTTTCCTAGCAGATACTTAAATACACATAGGAAATAATTATACCTAATGAGTAGTTCTTTTACTACCTATTGTGTTGTATAACAAGTGAATGATTAAGTTTGACCATTAGTGACTGGGAAAAATGGTTCAACAACAGTACATTTAACTAAAATATTTTGTAAGAGGATGGTTTGAGCAAGGCACTGGTGGTTCATGCCACCAGCTACTCAGGAGGCTGAGATCTGAACATTGGGGTTCAAAGCCATCCTGGGAAGAAATGTCCCTGAGACTTATCTCCAATTAACCACCAGAAAACTGGAAGTGGCACTGTGGCGCAAATGGTAGAGCATTTGCTCTTCAGCTCAAGGATAGCACCCGGGCCCAGAGTTCAAGCTCAAGAGACAAAAAAGAGAATGGTTTAAAAACAGCAGCAAAAACAACAATGAAGTAATTCATAAATACCTCTCTAGTGTGTTTTTGTCTAATTCCTTTCTGGTATCCAGTCTTGGAATGGGCTATTTTCCCACACATTTGGGGACCAGGGAGTCATGATTAATAGGTACTGTTTGAATATTATCAGTTTATCTTTATGAAATCAAAGCAAACAAATCTATTTGTGACTTCTATATAAATTATCTTCATAAAGTTAAAACACTATCAATACTGATGGAGAAATTGCATTAAACACCAGATATATTTTAGAACTATCTGCCTTTTTTGTGTTTGTTTTTGAGATAGGAACTGATCTTATGTCCAGGCCATGATGAATTGTAATCTACCTACCCATTTGTGATTTCCCTTGTCACTGAGATGATAGCTCACCTCATAAAGTCCAGTCATTGATCAAAATATTGCTGAAAACTTTTTTGTCTAGGCTGGCCTTATATGATTAATTCCTCCAATCTGTGCCTCCCAAGCTGCTAGGATTTTATGCTTAAAACACTATGTCTGACTCCTAAAAATGTTTTATAAACAATGCTAAAAATTATAGTAATAAGAGAAAATAGACCATTAAAAAGGAAAATGCAATGATTAAAAAGGCAGGGTAACATCTCAGTACAAATTAACAGCAACTACAACATATAAAAATTGGACTGAATCTTTGTAAGCTTTTTTGCTCTTCTGAAGTTGTGATTTCTATACAATAGACAATGATACATATTTAATATGTTATTCTGGTCTTCAATACTTTCAAAAATGCTTTAAGTGTCCTCAGTATTTCAACATCCATATTCCAAGGCTGTAAATCCTAAGGATGCTTTTTTTTTTTATTCACCCATACAAATGTAAACTCAAGCCAGTATACTTAATGGACCAAAAGAAAAGGAACTGTTCAAAAAACTTTTCAAGAACAATTACACATCAATAAATATTAGGGTATGTAATTGTTTGTGAGATAAATGAAGCTATAAAGTATTATGTAGGAAATATAGTTTCTTGTTGTTGGTAATTACTAAGTAGTGCCTAATTTTATCAATACACTTATCCCCTCCCCTTTTAAGTGGTGGACTGAAATGAGATGACATTTCTCCATCTTTTTTTTTTTTAAAAAAAACAAAACAAATAAGTAATGTCAGGCACTAGTTTCTCATGCCTGTAATCCTAGCTACTAAGGAGGCTGTGATCTGTGGATTGAAGTTCAATGCCAGCAATGACATAAGACTCTCAACTGAGCACCAAAAACTACAAGAAATGATGTGACTCAAATGGTAGAGTGCTACTCTTGAGCAGAAAAAGCTCAGGGGCAGGCAGTGCCAAGCTGAATTCAAGCTCCAGTACACACAAACTCTCATACACACACACATACACACACACACACACACACACACACGAAAAAGGGAAAGAAAAAAGATACTTCTAAAACCTGAATACCAGGAAGAAAAAGGTTTATATATAGTACTTTTTTTTTTTTGTCGGTCATGGGCCTTGAACTCTGGGCCTGGGTGCTGTCCCTCAGCTCTTCAGCTCAAGGCTAGCGCTCTACCACTTGAGCCACAGCACCACTTCCGGCTTTTTTCCCTTTTTGCTTATGTGGTGCTGAGGAATCGAACCCAGGGCCTCATGCATGCAAGGCAAGCACTTTACCACTGAGCCACCTTCCCAGCCCTATAGTAGATACTTTTTTTTTTTTTTTTTTGCTTAAGGCTAGCCCTCTACCACTTGAGCCACAGCTCTAGTTCTGATTTTTCTGGTAGTTAATTGGAGATATGAGTCTCAGGGACTTCTTTGCCTAGGCTGGCTTAGAACTGTGATCCTCAAATCTCAGTCTCCCGAGTAGTTGGATTACAGGCTTGAGCCACCCTCACCCAGTCTATATTATTCTCATCACTGCTAAAAGTATGGTCTTAATGTCTAGGCTGATGAAACATAGCAAATAATAGCATCTTGGCTCCATCAACTAGTTTCTTCAATTAAGATCTGAAGGTCCTAGATTGGTCCCTTAGAGCAAACTTTAAGGTGAGCCTATCAACTAAAACAACGGGAAAAAGTTACCTTGCTTGGTGGCACAAAAAAAGCACCTGGGATATAAAAATGGGATGAAATCAGCACAAAAGGTGTTAACTTTTTTCTTCATAACAAACAAGTATTTGGTACTCTCTCAGCATTAAAATGTTGTTAATTTTAGAGTTGTTTTCTAAATTGTAACTAGATTTCTAAATGGTAACCAACTATATGAAATTTTATCATTGCTTCACCATTATAATAAGAAGCTAAGATTCTGGGGTGTTATCACCTCAGGAGTTGTATAAAATTAAAGCTGGGTGGAACATTACTCAATTACTAAACCAATCAAGATACAAGAGTGATTATTTAAGACACACACACAAAAAACCAGCTTAAAGACATTTAATAGGAAAACCCAGAAAACGCTAAACTGAAGAAAACGAATGGGTTCGTGAAACATTCAACATAATCAAAAATTATTTCATTTGAACTGGTGCCTAAAAGCTAAAGACCGTAATTCACAAATCAAAACTCTTTAAGTGTTACGGAAAAAAAATCCTAAACGGCATTATTTTTCTCCAATTATGACAAGGAATAATCACAGTATAGAACGTGCATGCATCCTCCCCTCGGACCCCCCTCCCCCCCCCCCGCCACGGTCCCAACAAGAAGGTAGACCATGAACTTTCCAGAAAAGCCATCACCCGAATACAGGCTGGGAAGGGCTTCGAGGAGGAGCGGTGTCCATTTTCACAGAACCATCGCCGTTCCCGTATGGACACCGAATTACTTTCACCATTTTAACTACATGAAGACGGGTTTGCGGCCAGTTCTCTCCCAAACCTACCGGAGACGGGGCTACCACTACCTAGGTCCCCCAGGCGATGGTCAAGCAAGTCCACTCGGCTCCCGACACAGTTCCAGCTAGTTCCTGTCTGGCAGGCGCGTTCGGTTCGGCTAGGGCTCCCCCCCCACCCCCCGCACCGCACCCCGGCCGGTCCCGCGGCCCACCTCCCCGCACGCCGTCCCGGACGGGTAAGAATGGGAGGCCATCAGACTAGCAAAACCCCGACTCCTTCGGTCGTGAGTAGCCGAGCAGGGCTGAACGCAAACTGAAGCGAGACGAGGGTGATCAGGAGGGCGGTTAAAGGGGGACCGGGAGGGGAACGCATGGAGAGCGAGCGGGGGAGGGGGCGGGGGGCTAGACCCGCTCCACTGTCAATACCACTCAACCTCGAGTTCCACCGATGTGCCGCTAGCAGCCCAGGATCGTCCAGCAGCCCTTACGAGGCACGCCGCGGGCCGGCCCCTGCCGGTTCCGGATTAGTTCAGCATTAGGCCTCCGCTCCCCACCAATGCTCCCGGCCCACCCCCCCCAGGGGTCCCGGCGCCATTTAGCTCCTCCGAAGCCGCCGCCATTTTCCGCCCCCGCCGAAGCGCGGATCAGCCCGGGCCATCGCTCGATCGCTCGTTCGCTCCCCTCAGTTCCGCAGCTCCCATCGCCGCCGCCTCAGCTCGGCTCTGAGGAGGAGGCCGCCCCGGCCCGCACGCAGCCGGAATCCGGCAGCTTCCACCTCACGGAGACTCAGCGCCAGCCCTGCCGCGGCGCCCCGGCGCCGGCAGCCGGCCAGCCGGAGCTGAAGGGCCGAGCAAAGGGGGCCGGGCAGCCGCCACTGGGCGGAGCGGCTGTGGCGGCGGTTGGGACCTGAAGGTTCCATCGCGCACTTACTTCCTGTTTTGGGTCCGGGCACTTTGGAAGAACCAGGATGGAGGCTCCAAAAAATACCAGGATGGAGGAAGCAACCACGGGCGAGAGTGGCTACAGCTGCAGTGAGCGAACGCGACGAGCCACCGGAAACGGAGCTGCGACCGCGCCCCGCCTCCGGAACGCTCCCTCCCCCCTACCGCCCTCCGGCCCGCCTCTCCCGTGGGGCGGGCCCCGCGCTGCGTCACTTCCGGCAAGAGCTGGGAGCGCGAAAAAAGGGTTTCGCAGGGGTCTACCTGGTGCTCTCGGGACACTTATCTGTCTTCCGGCAGGACCTGGTCTCTCGCGTCCACTGCGAAATGGGTTTTCTTTTAAAATTTTGTTTTCTTTTGCAACTGTGGTTCTCTGGGCTCGTGAGAACACCGGCCCCGCGGGCTTTGGTTCTCAGGGATCTCGTTGTGAAACTGAACGCGTGTGTCCGGGCCTTCGAGCTCGGTTTGCCTGGTGTCTGCTTGTGTCTCTAGACTTGCTGCTCAGTTTTGTTGTGAACATTAAACTCTAAAACCAAGGTTTTGTTAAAAATTAATGTGAAAGGGCTAAGTTCCCTTTTTAATATGTACTGTTCATAAATAATTTTAATATAAGCTAACCTATGGGGTAAGATAGTGTCATGCTGTAGATGTTGGAGTCAGACCGAGGTGAATCTTTGCTCCAGTGACTGACTGTATGTTGCTTAACTTCTCTTAAGTTTCATTTACCTTAGAAAAATGGGAGTCAGGGGCTGGGAAGGTGGCTCGGTAGAGCACTTGCCTTGCATGCCTGAGGCCCTGGGTTCGACTCCTCAGCACCACATAAGCAAAAAGAAAAAAAAAAAGAGAAAGATGGGAGTCAGAAGATCCACTTTCAAAAACTAATGTTGACAACATGTTTGCATAGAGCTTGATATATGTAGGCTTACTAGCATAATAAATGGAAACTTTGAAACGTAGTAGAGCAGTTCTCAAAGAGCAGTTCTCATGCAATAATTACATATACACCATGGTTGACACATTGATGAGAAAGTGGTTCTCAATTAGCAAGAGGTTTTACTAACCAACTATACAGGATTCTTTTCACTAAGCCATAAAAGTCATACCTACATTGGTTGTCTGTTCTCTTTTACAAAATCTTAGATAATCCTGAACCCTCGTGTTTAATTTCCTTAACTTTTAATTTCATTAACTCCCTTTCTAGGTGACTTTTTGGCTTTTTTTTTTTCATTACTATCTTTTCCCAGAGTCAGTTGGGTTTTACTTAAGACAAGTATATTTTAATAGTAATTAATGCCTAACTGAAAAGCAAGGACTTGTTAAAATTTTCTCCCACAAGCAATTGATCAATAAATCTGCGTATCCAGCTGGGTACCCTTCAGTACTGACACCACTAGAGGTAGCATGAAATTCCAAAGTATGATCTCAGTTCCCAAGACTGGTCTCACTGCCTGTACTTTAGATGCCATTTGCAAGCCCTATAAAATTTAATTTCTCCAACTGCATCCACAGGTTTGATTAATTTGTTTGAGCAGCTCACAAAACTTAAGAAGATATTATGCATGAATGAAACAGACTTTGTGTTGAAAAGTGATTGGACAAAAGGAGTGTGATCTAATGCTAATAGACTGAGGAAGGAGACCCAGAATGACGTCTGTTTAGATTCACTGTGCAACATTCCATCCTTAAGGGCATGCATGGGGCTGTATTTCTTCTGAAGTAGGGGTCTTTTCATCTGCTATCAGATAAGGTAGATCTAAGAATTTCTTCATAGCCATCTCCAAGGCAGAAAGATGGAGGAGATAAATAGAGTTTCTGTGAGTTGCTTTAAGAAAGTCTACTTTTTATGGCTTGCATTGGGGAGGAAGTTACAAGATGAGAATCAAGAATGAAAATAAAAAATATATAACATAATAATTTTAATCTATTGTAACAAAATCTTTATGTCTTTAATTTGAATAATCAATGTTCAAAAACTATCCATACAATTTAAATCATAGAACTTTCTGTAGTTATACATACAATGGGTACCTAAGTAAAGCCTGAAACTTTATCCTAAGATTACCTAATTAGGAATTAATGCCTGGTAGAGAAATGAGAAGTATTTCTATCACAAACAGAAATCACTATATTATAAAAGTAGAGTACAGTTACGGTTTTGCTGCATTTGCTAGCTATGCTTATCTCTATAGCTAGCAAATGAAGCTAGTGTTGGATTTCATATTTGTAAAATTACACTTTCATGAACTAGCTGAATACTGCTGAAATTTTTGTGACAGGTTGGTATATTAATATTAAAATATCTCAAATACTGAGCTATGGGATTCTTTTTGTTTCAATATTTATCATGTGCTAGATTCTGTGGTTCAGAACAAAAGGATATGTTTCAAAGTAAGAGAATAAAATTTCTGGGTACTTTTCTTTCCACATAATCCAGTCCTGATAATAGAACAGATGGGTTCTGGAACACCTTCTCAAACTTTGGGAGACCTGATGGGGATTCCCATTATGTAAAGCAGTCTCATTAAGGCCCTCATACTAGGCTTTTCCAGGCTGAGTCCCACCTCAGATTCTTTCTGTAGGCTCTCCTTTGAACCTTATGGCATTCCAGCTCATAACCATTTTCTCACATTTCCATTTGTATCTGTCTTACTTCAATACTCCTTTTACATGGTCACCACCTCTTCCTACCCTCTTAACGTCTTTACTGAAACCTATTAACAGAATATTAGCAAAACCTGATTTCTAGTTAGGGAAGACATATTCTGGTGCTCGTACTCAGTGAAGATAAAAGCTTTGAGGCTCTGAAAGTGAGCTTTTCCAATGAGAACTCAAGAGTAAGCCTTTCTGAAAAAGTTTAATTTAAGCAGAGGCTAGAATGGCAAGAAGAAAAGTAGGTAGGAAGTAGAAGGTATTTGTCAAGCTAGTATAAGAAAGAAGATATTTGTAAAAAGAACAGAACTATGTAATATTTATCAAATAGAACATATTACTGGCTTAAGTTCTTTGCAGATGTTAACCAATGTTTTTTTTCTTAGTTTTTTATTTTATTTCATGTACAAACCATTAAGATCTACCCATTTGCTAAAAAGTTAGGTGTTAAATACACTATTGTTGACTATAGGTACAATGTTGTTCAGCAGGTCTCATTCATCTTGAAGTATTATTCTGGTTAATAAGTAGCTCTCCATTTCTTCCTCCTTTCAACTTGTGCTAACCACATTCCCTTTCTCCTCCCTTGAGTTTTTAGTGCAGGTCTTGCACTTGCTAAGCAGGCGCCACTTGAACCACACCTTTAACCTTTTTGTGACTTTTATTTTGTAAATATTATTATTATAATAAAGGTGATGTACATAGGGATTACTGTTTCATAAGTCAGATAATGAGTACATTTCTTTTTGGACAATGTCACACCTTCCTTTGCTCTCTCCCAGTTATACTTTTAGTTTTTTAATGTAGGGCTTGGTATTTATGTTGGGGCTGACCAGGACAATAATACTCCTATTTTTGCTTCCCACATTGCTGGGATGATCGATGTACCATCATACCTTGCTTTGTGGATCTGATGAGGGAGGAAGGTCTCACAAACTTATTCCCTGAGCTGGTCTCAAACTACTGTCCTGATCTCAGCCTCCCAAGTAGTTAGGTTTACAGTCATGAAACATCTGCTATCTCTGCCATGTCATAGCTTTAATTTGCCAGCATATGGCACAGTGTTTTAATTCAGTAGATGCTTAAACAAAACATTCAGTCTTAAACCAGACACTAGCTATTTATATTATTTTGCAATAGCTACTGTCTACAGGAGATCATAGTCTTGAGAGTATTACTGGACAACTATGAAATAAAACAAAAGTTAGCTTCTATTATTGTTCAAGTAGCAGGGGGTTATTTTAGCACAGTATCACATATGGGATATGACTGAATCTATTGCTCAAATCTCATCTGTTTAGATGCAATATTTTATGGGATAGATCATGTCATTTAACCAGCAGATGTCTCTATTGCTCAGCAAGATTTTCTTTTTTTTACAGAAAAGTAGCTTCACTAGTAGATGAAAATTTTAGGGAGTTGAATTGCTACTGACAGAATATAGTAGGCCACGCACAAGCTTTAACAATAATAAAACCAAAGGGATAGGAATTATACTTTCAACGTCAAATATGACAAAGCTCTCTAGCCTGGAAAGACTTGTTAGCTTAATAGCCTTTTCTGCTTTTCTATGTAAGTCTAATTTCCTCAAAACAGGTAAGGAAATGACAAAGAAACAAGTTACCCCTATGATTTTTGCACTTTCAGGAATTTGGATATGAGATATCATTCAACAGATATGCCTGAGTATCTACTTGTGATGAGCACTTTTCTAGGCATAGAAAATATGGTAGAGATCAGGAGACAGGTCCTTTATGTTCAAAGAATATATATTGTAGTAGAAAGCTTATAGTAGCATACCAAGTTACTAGGTTCCTGGCACCTGTCTTTAAAATTGTTCATAATTAACAATAAGGCATGGTGATAAAATAATATAAAATTCCAATCACCTGGAATCAGCAGGATAAGCTAACTTGCAAATTCTAGGAAAGAGCCAATGCCCATTGCCACCACTGCACCTTTACAGCAAATAGTAAATGATCTGAAAATATTAGACATTATTTGTTTTTACCCATCAGTTAAGAATTAACAAGACAAAACTGGTGTTTTGTGTGTCTTTCACTGCTGTGTGTGATCGTTTACAGATGCAACTTATTTCAGTGACATCACAAAATGTCTATTAGCATACTAAAATAACGGGCAGTCTCTCTAGATACCATTTTAACTTATTTCAAAATTGTCATCTATTGCCAATGGTATAAAAGGGGATATTATAAATTTCATTTCTATATTTATTTTATTTCTTCTTGGAAATTGCCTAGCTTTCTTGCTTCTGGGTCAATATTCTGTGTTTACAGAAAGAGATGTGGCCTCTTACTTGAGGACTTTTCCCCTGCTCCCTTTTTGAGATAGTTCCTACTCCATAGCATAATCTAGTGTAGAATTTGATTTGTGGCCCAGGTTGGCCTGCAACTCGGTCTGAGGTCTTCCTCAGCCTTCTAAGTGTTGCAGGC